GGATTTTCAAGGAGCGGCTGGTGGATTTGAACTGCTGACCTTTCGGTTAGCAGCCGAGCTCTTAACCACTGCGCCACCAGCGCTCCAAGCATAGCACCTGGCATGGTAGGTGTCTATAAATATTTTGTAGGAAGGATTAAATGAATAAAACTTATTGTGATTCCATTCTTCTCTTTTGCTTTTAGAGTCCAGATAGGGAGACCAGCATTTTCTTATGAACTTTGGAAAATGCTAAGGAAACCAGTGAATCACAGAGACAAAAAAAAAAAAAAAAACAGAAATCTTCGTTTAACCTCTTTATAGCCATTCACATTTTCTAACCCAAGTGATTTTATTGAGCACTCACAGAGCAACGTGGGAGGCGTTAGAAGTAGCCAGGTGGAGAAAAGGGAATGGCACTGGAGGGTCTATCCAGGAAGTCACAACAATAGCAGCAACAGAGCTAACACTATTAGTTCCAGGCACTTCCTTATGCATGTACACACAATGACTCCTTCAATACTCTTAAGAACCCTATTGGGTAGCTACTATAATCCACATCTGATGAGGACACAGAAGCACAGAGAAGCAGAGTAACTCGCTTATAGTCATGCAGCTAATAAGTAGCAGAGCTGGGATTCAAACCCAGACAGTCTAGCTCAGGAGTCCGTTCTCCCACCTTAACACTATATTACCTCCATATGCCTAAGATGTATACCAACAAAACCAGTTGCTGTTGAGTCACTTCCGACTCATGGTGACCCCATGTGTGTCAGAGTAGAACTGTGCTCCATAGAGTTTTCAACGGCTGTGTGACCTTTCAGAAGTAGCTCACCAGGCATTTCTTCCAAGGCACCTCAGGGTGACCTTGAACCACCAACCTTTTAGTTAGTAGCCGAGTGCATCAACCATTTGTGTCATGTACGCACTCCTTACTAACAACAGCTTTCAAGGCCTAAAGAACTGGCCCCCCACATTTTTCCTCTGTGACTCACCTGCTCCTCTCCCATCTAGCTCACTTCTCTATAGAAGAGCAAGTTGAGGATCCTTGTACCCACCAGACCTTCTCCCACCTCAGGGCTTGCACTTGCTGTGACTTCTGCTTGGAAAAGTCTTCCTCCCAGAGCCTCTCCCCTTCTTCAGACTCTTGCTCAGATATCACCTTCCCAGTCAGATCTTTCCTGACACCCTATTAAAATTTGACCCTATCCCACTTCGCTGGAAGTAGGTATTTTTCTCCACAGCACTTATCACCATGTGACATAATATATATTTTACTAATGTATTTTATTTATTAGCTGTCACCCACTAGACTGTAAGCTCTATGAGGACAGGGCTTTTTTGTCTGTTCACTTCTGTAGGCCTAGTATGTAGATACTCAGTTACTGATCTTTTGAAAGTAGGTTGTCAGGCCTTTCTCCCAAGATGCCTCTGGTTGACTTGTACCATCAACCTTTTGGTTAGTAGTGGAGTGCTTAACTGTTTGCACCACCCAGGAACTCTAAAAGATGTATTGTTGTTGTTGTGTGCCATTGAGTGGATTCCAACTCATATTGACCCTATAGGACAGAGCAGAATTGCCCCATAGATCACCAGGTCTTTTCTCCCTCGGAGCTGCTGGTGGGTTTAAACCTCCAACCTTTTGGTTAGCAGCTGAGCACTCAACCATTGCAACACCAGGGCTCCAGCAAAAGATGTATAGTGATGGTAGTTTTGGCTAAGAATATACGCAACATGAGGTAGAAGAGAAATGTGCCCTTTCGCAACCAATCACTCCAGTCCCAGGCTCTGAGAACCGAGAGGAGTTTTGGGTTGAATTGTGTCCTCCAAAACTACATCTTGTAAATCCTAACCCCTATACCTGTGGATGGAGCCCTGGTGGCACAGTGATTAAGAACTCAGCTGCTAAGCAAAAGGTGAATAGTTCGAATCCACCAGCCACTCCTTGGAAACCCTATGGGGCAGTTCTGCTCTGCCCTATAGGGTCACTATAGTCGGAATGGACTCGATGGCAACGGATTTGGTTTTTGGTTTTATACCTGTGGATGGAGCCTTGGTGGTATAGTGGTTGAGAGCTCAGCTGCTAACTGAAAGGTTGGAAGTTCAAATTCACCAGCCGCTCCTTGGAAGCCCTATGGGGCTGTTCTACCCTGTCCTATAGGGTTGCTATGAGTCGGAATGGACTCAATGGCAATGGGTTTGATGTTTTTGTTTGTTTGTTTTTTTTTTTTTTTATGGATACCTGTGGATGTAATCTCATCTGGGAATAAGGATATCTTTGTTATATTAATAAGACCATGTAAGTGTAGGGTGTGTCTTAAAACACTTTTTGAGATATAAAAGATGAGATTAGGCACAGAGAAAGCAAGGATAAACAGGGAAAGACATGCCATGCGGAGATCTCCAAGTAACACCAAGAAGAACACTAGAGAAGCTTCGACAAGAATTTTTCCTCAGAACTGACAGAGAGAGTCCCCCCTTAGAGCCAGCGCCCTAAACTCAGACTTCTAGCCTCCTAAACTGTGAGAAACTAAATTTCTGTTCTTTAAAACCACCCACTTGTGGTATTTCTGTTACAGCAGCACTAAGAAACTAAAGCACCCTGCATTTCTACTTTACCACGGAGAGGGAGCCATCTGAGTGGCCTCATTCAGTTGGAAGCAGAGTCCTCTGCCAGTATTCTCAGGAAGCAGCTCCCAGAATGGCAACCTGGGGTGGCTGAGACCCGGCTGGCTCCACCTCCCTGGTATCCTTTCGAAAACACTATCCCTTGCTGGAGAAACCGGTGGGGCCACTTTCCTAGCATGTACATGGCAGGCCCTTAAGACTTCATGGGCTCCTGTGCCCCATCTAGGGCATTTCAAGCAGACAGCACGGCATATGCAATAATCCAGGAGTGAGAAAAAGCCTGGTGCAGCCCTGGAGCAGGTGAGAAGCTAATGGCTGATGGGAGGGCCCAAGAGGGAGGAGGGGGAGGGAATGGAAAGGTAGCTTGGGTCTACTTGTGACTTTGAAAGGCCTTATACACCAAGTAGAGAAATTTCTTTTTATTTCCCAATAGGGCAATGGGAACCATCAAAAGTCATGCTGTATCTTTTAGGTTTACAGTTTCACCACTTAAGAAGCTATTTTTCTTTACTGAAATATACTTCCTTAACAATTAGGAAACACTGCCATCATGTGGCTCTTGGTTAATGCATCTCCAAACTTGAGTTGCTGAATTTTATGATAGTTTAATAATTAAATCAAAGACCACATCTCTTGATTTAAATAGCTGAAGTAAAGCAAGAAACCAAACTAAACCCGTTGTGGTCGAGTCGATTCTGATTCACAATGTTAGCTTGTAAAAAGGACACTTTTTCTAAAGTTTCTCAAGAAATCAATATCTCGGTTCAATTCTCTTGATTTCCTGTATTAAAAAAAAAAATTTCTAGTCCAAATCTTTAGATTCTGATAGAAAGGATCTTTTCTATCCCCAAACCAGTAAAAACAAATCAGTTGCCCTGGAGTCGATTCCAACTCATGGCGATCCCATGTGTGTCAGAGTAGAACTGTGCTCCGCAGGACTGATTTTCCAGAAGTAGACCACCAGGCCTTTCTTCTGAGGCACCTATGGGTGGACTCAAACCTCCAGGCTTTTGGTTAGCAGCCAGCTTTTAACTGCTTGCACCTTCCAGGGACTCCTTTTCTATTCCCAGGGACTCCTTTCTTTGAATCACAAGCCCTGCAAAACCGCCCATTTCAGAGCAGTTTGCTATCAAAGCTGTCTCCAGATCATCTCCCTCAACTATGGCGGATTCAAATTCAGCCCCAGGTGTGTTCTCCCTGTATGGTCCTGCAGTTGAACTGACCCAAGTTCAAATATTTCTGCCAGTTTTTAGCTGGGTGGCTTTGGGCAAGTCACCGAACCTCTCTGGGCCTTAGTTACTTCACCCCTAAAATGGAGATGGCACCTTCTTCGTAGGGTTATTGTGAGGCTGAAAAGATAACATATTTAAAATCAAAACTAAACCCACAGCCGTCAGTCGATCCGACTCATAGTGACCCCGTTTCCAAGGCTGTAAATCTCTACGGAAGCACACAGCCACATCTTTCTCCCGCGGAGCGGCTGGTGGGTTCCAATCGCCGACCTTTCGGTTAGCAGTCGATGGCTTTAACCACTGCGCGCCACCAGGGCTCCTTCACATATTTAAAAGATAACATAAAAAATATGTGCCTGGCACATCACACGTCCTCATAATGTCGGGATCCCCTTCCTCTTCCTTCTTGAGGGCATGTTATTTGAGCACAGAGCAGGCACTCAGTGGAGGTCTGCGCTTCGATACCCGAGATTTAGCTGGTCCTCAGCAACGTTCCCTGGGAATACAAACTCTCAGCCTCTCAGGATGTGGGGCGCCGCCCCTATTTCCACGCCTTGCCTACGGGCCCTGGCCTTGCCGGCGGCTGCAGTCCACGCGTCGCCGCCGTGCGCAGGAGCCGGCAGGTGCGTGGGCGTGAGCGGGGCGGGGTGGCATTCATTCTGTGCCACTGCCTTCCCGGGGGCTGGGGGTGTGTGCGGATAATTCAATCCCCGTGGGACTCAGCGTCTCGCCTCACCCGCAGCTCGGCGGATTGGCTGACTGTCTCAGCTCGCCCCCGCCCTCCGTACCCCCTGCGTCCCCAGGTGCCTCAGGCCCCTGTGGTGATCTCTGTTTACCGAGAGATCCCGTTCAAATTCGGCTCCTTCTCGGCTCTCGCTCCCCTCCGGGGCCCCGCCCGCCCGGGAAGCGGGCCGACAACCCGGCCGAAACTTCCTCGCCCTTCCCCTCCCCCCACCGCCCGGAGAGGTCGGGTAAGGGGGAAAGTGGGTGTGGGGGAGGGGGAGTCCCAGGCCTGGGGGATCCGGCTGTCCCCGTCCCGGTGCCTCACGCAGACCCAGAAGCGCCATCTCCAGGCCTGGTTCTCGCTGCCCCCGCCCCTGCTCTGTCGTCTCGGGGTGACGTGCCCACCCCGGGCTGGCAGCCAGAGGCTGAATCTCAGGGATGCCAGGTCCCTAGCGGAGGCACAGACGAGGAGACCACTCTCATAGGTGTTTCTCCACCCCCGCAGACGGCGATGACCCCCAAGCCGGCCGGACCCCCGGACGGGGGCTGGGGCTGGGTGGTTGCGGCCTCAGCCTTCGCGGTGAATGGGCTCTCGTACGGGATGTTACGCTCGCTGGGCCTTGCCCTCCCTGACTTCGCCGAGCACTTCGACCGAAGTGCTCAGGACACTGCGTGGGTCAGCGCCCTGGCCCTGGCAGTGCAGCAAGCAGCCAGTGAGGGGGGGCCCCCAGGAGGGAGGCGGGAATGAGGGTGGAGAGGCGGTGAGTGTAGTGGTGGGGGACCCGCCAGGCGACCAGACAACCTGAGACAGGGCGACCAGTGGAACCCAGTTCTAGAGTGTAGCGGGTGTTGGAGGTCAAGGGGAGGAACTATTGGGCCGGGGGAGGAACTTAGGCCAGTCAAACAGCCAACGAGAAGTGTAGCGCCGAGTTTGGGGTTCAGGGGCGTGTCTTCCACTGACTCCGCCCCCCTCTAGGCCCGGTGGGCAGCGCCCTGAGCACCCGCTGGGGGGCACGTCCCGTGGTAATGTTTGGGGGCGTCCTCACCTCTCTCGGCTTCGTCTTCTCGGCTTTCGCCCGCAATCTGCTGCACCTCTACCTCGGTCTGGGCCTCCTCGCTGGTGAGGGGCTGCGGGAATGCCCGGGTCCTTAAAGGATGAAGATGGGGGAGCGAACTCGGTGGGGGCCTGCTGCGGGGAGCAAGGCTGGGGATGCTGGGGCAGGCACCCTGGTCCCTGCCCTCACTCCGCCCTATCCATTCGCAGGCTCCGGCTGGGCCCTGGTGTTCGCCCCTGCCCTGGGTACCCTCTCTCGTTACTTCTCGCGCCGTCGAGTCCTGGCAGTGGGGCTGGCGCTCACTGGCAACGGGGCCGCTTCTCTGCTCCTGGCGCCGGCCTTGCAGCTCCTCCTTGACACTTTCGGCTGGCGCGGCGCCCTGCTCCTCCTTGGCGCCACCACTCTCCACCTCACCCCTTGTGGCGCCCTCCTGCGACCCCTGGCCCTCCCCGGCGACCCTCCGGCTTCCTCTCGCGGGCCCCTAGGGGCCCTCGGCCTCAGTCTCTTCACTCGCCCGGCCTTCTCGGTCTTTGCTCTGGGCACGGCCCTGGTGGGGTGCGGATACTTCGTCCCCTACGTACACTTGGCCCCCCACGCCTTAGATCGGGGTCTGGGGGGTTACGGGGCCGCGCTGGTGGTTGCGGTGGCTGCGGTGGGGGATGCGGTCGCCCGGCTGGTGTGCGGGTGGCTGGCGGACCAGGGCTGGGTGCCCCTCTCGCGGCTGCTGGCGGTGTTCGGGGCTCTGACAGGCCTGGGGCTGCTGGCGGTGGGACTGGTGCCAGTGTCGGGCAGCGAGGGCTGGGGGGGGCCTCTGCTGGCAGCGGCTGGGGCCTACGGGCTGAGCGCCGGAAGTTACGCCCCACTGGTTTTCGGGGTGCTTCCGGGGCTAGTGGGCATCGGAGGCGTTGTGCAGGCCACGGGGTTGGTGATGATGCTGATGAGCCTCGGGGGGCTCCTGGGCCCTCCCCTGTCAGGTAAGGGCCTGAGCCAGCAGATCCACTCCTAACCGCCTCTGCCCCCGGGGTCCGACGCTTCTAAGTTCCTTTACTCTTCCTCTCAGGCTTCCTAAGGGATGAGACAGGAGACTTCACCGCCTCCTTCCTCACGTGCGGCTCCTTCATCCTTTCCGGCAGCTTCATCTACATGGGGCTGCCCAGGGCGCTGCCCTCCTGTGGTCCAGCTTCACGTCCAGCCACCCCACCGCCTGAGAGGGGGGAGCTGCTCCCCGTTCCTCAGGTTGCCCTGCTCTCCCCCAGAAGTCCCCACCCCACTCTGGACACCACTTGTTGATCATTTTCTTGTTTGAGCCCCTCCCCCAATAAAGAATTTCTATTCTTTTTTTCCTGCAAGCTCCACTGTTAGCCAGTCTAGGGCCCTGGAAACATCCTATTTAAAACATCCAAAAAACCTGTTTGAAAGGACCAGGATTCCAACAGGCCTTGGGGGGGGGGGCACCTGTCGTCCAGCCTGTTAAATCTTCTTTCCCCAAATTCTTGTTGTCATAATAGAGAATCTTTGAGAAGTTTTCTGCCGGTCAGCGGCAGTCTATTGGAAGAGGGGAGGAGGGCTTATGGGTGCTATCTGTCACATCCTAGTTTCTCCCGAGTATCCAGATCTCCCAAACTGTTGGCCTGCATTTCACTCTCCTTCTACTGGCCTGCTTAACAAAAGGTCCGCAGTTCAAATCCACCAGCTGCTTCTTGAAAACCCTATTGGGCAGTTCTACTCTGTCTTATAGGGTCAATATGAGTTGGAATGGACTCCGTGGCACCAGTTTGGTTTTCCTTTCCTACTGGCCTGAGGAAAATACAGGAATCCCAGATTCAGCTCTTTACCCTTCTTCCAAACTATCCCCTGCTATTCTCTTAATTTCTTTTCTAAGTCACAGGGGATAGTGGGATAAAGGAAGGTAAGTGGGTAGGAGGCCCAGAGAGCAGAGTTCAGGGTTCAAATGCTCTGGGTCATCAGAGCTTCTGGACACCAGCCCCTCTACTCCCCAGCCATGACTCCATTTAGCTAAACCAAACAGATGGGTCCCAGATCTGCTTGAGGTTATGATTGTTATCCAGTTTTCTTATCAGTTATATTTCAAAGGGACATTCCTGTTTCCCAAACATCTTTGTCTTCAGAGAAGAAGCTTAGAAGCAACACTAGAGATAAAACATGTTAAGCCTCTTTGGCCTTTGATTTCCACAGCTGATTCACAAATCAGTGGGGCAGGTTGAACTCTGGATCCTAAAGAAAATGTTGGTGGAGCGAAGAAGACAGAGTCCTCAACAAAATACAAAGGGTTGGCACGCATATCACAGGTACCTCACACCTGCTCTGGAGGAGGCAGATGAAGAGGCTTAAGGCACTGTGGTTCCATGGGGGCCAAGATGGGGCAGGAGAAGAAGACCTGGAGCTCTGGCTTTCTGGACCTGACTGCCCCTCCTTGGAGTTCAGTCCTCTGCTAGACCCTCCCTGGGCAGAGGGACTTTGGTATCCAGGGCCTCTGTCACAAGGTCTTGGGGCCTGGAGGTAGATGGTGAGAAGCAGGAGAAGAAACCAGGCAGGGTGATGAGAACTCCGCTCCCTGCAAGGAGGAAGGCCCCAGCCACCACAAAAGAAGCTGTGTAGTTGCCTGTCACATCCCGGAGGTAACCTAGGCCCAAGAGAGAAAGAATACACATGGATGATCTGTTCCCTGGGGCTGATGGCTAAGACACATTTTTGGGTGAAGGCAAGAAATAAGCCTTAACTTATCCATCTTGGAAGAGTTGAATTCCAAAGGTTGGATTGGATGGAGAACTGTGGTTCACCAGGGGCCTCAAAAGGTAATTTCAACCCCTTTCCTGCCTTCAGAAAGGACTTCCAAACCAGCCAGTGGGGATTTGAGGATCTAGATGGAGTCAGCCATGCCTGTGCCTTTGTTTCTGGCAATGGTAGCCCTTCTCCACCTTCAGTTAATAGTTAAGAGGAAAATGTTACGGGTTTGAAGGTTCTGGCATCTTGAGCCTGGAGAGCTTTGACCAGATGGCTCAGATACCTGGGCTGGAGCCCAGTGTGCCAAGGGAAAGGGAAGACACTGTGGCATGCTAAGTGTGTCCAGGCCCAACCAGGTTCTCTAAAAACCCAAGCTATAGGCACCTTGCTAAGGGTTACACTTAGCTCCCTGTGTCTTTCCACTCGATTTCCCAGCCCCAGTTTTCTTTGCCTCATGGGTCCATTTCAGAGCTACTATGAATGGCCATGCAGGCTGTGTACTGTATAATACCGGGGGGTGGTGTTCACACTCTAATGTGAGTAATACCCCCTTCAATCAGTGGCATCACTAGCGTTGGTGTTACCCAGTGCGGTAACTCATGGTGTTACCCCCTCTGCCCCATGGACCGCCTTGTGTACCAGACCATACAGAATCCTTAGTAATGTTTTTTGTACTACTGTTACTCGTAAATCATAATTCCTGTATATCACTCCTTTTCCTTTGATTACTACTTCATTCTCAAAAAAGTTATTGATATAGGTGTACAGATACTAATTACCCCAATATTGTAGCTAAAATGCCACAAATTTGACAAAATCAGCGACTATAAAAACACCGTCAGCAACTAGAACAACAGTGGGTGCCTATAGTACAAACCTGTAGCACGTGCCTGTAGCACCTGCTGATGAAACGAAGTGATTTGAATCGTCATTTTAATTGGGTAATAATGACAGTTCTGACTGGAGGGCATTCAACCCGTTGCCGTCGAGTAGATTCCAACTCATAGTGGCCCTATAGGACAGAGTAGAACTGCCCTCTTAGAGTTTCCAAGAGCAGCTGGTGGATTTGAACTGCTAACCTTTTGGTTAGCGGCCAAGCTCTGAATCGTTCAAAAAGTAAATTAGCATAGAGTTTTAGCCTTGTAGTTATATTGATACATGTAAGCCGAGCTTATGAAAAATGGTTTTGTTGTTATAACTAACTACAGGGATATTTTTATAAAAAAAAATAATTTGCTGCTGAAACACTGCACAAAAATTTTATAGACAGTCTTTTTGGTGTCAAGCCCTCTGACTGTCACCCAGTGTGGTCTGCATCCCCTGTACTGCCCTGTGATACTACTGCCTCCAATTGTGCAACATGGCACCCTGGCCCACCAGGTAACCTCATTCCCCTTACCTGACAGAGGAGCCCCCAGCAGCCCCCCGATGCTCTCTACCATCTGCACCAATCCTAGGCCAAAGTATATCCTTCCAGTTCCCACCAGTTCGGGCAGTACGGAGAAAGCCACTGGGGTCAGGGCTCCTGACGTGAAGCCGTAGGCCACAGCCAGAGCCACCAGTGCTGTGGGAGCCTGAGCCACGGGGAATAGGGCCAGTGACACCCCGGTCAGGGTGGTCCAGAACATCAGGAGTCTTGACACCGGCCCTGGGATTGCATCTCCCAGCCACCCGGAGGCTACACGCCCCACAAGGTCAGAAATAGCAGCCACTGAGAGTAGGAAGGCAGCAGACAGTGGGTCCCAATTCAGGTCCTGGAGATGGGCCACCAGGTGGATGTAGGGAATGAAGTAGCCAGTGTTGATCAGGGTGAGGGCGACAGTGTAGCGCAGGTAGGGGCCATGATGGAGGAGGGAGGCGAGTTGGGCCCTAGGGCCACCCACAGCAGGGTCCTCAGCCAGGGAGAGGGGGCGGAGGAGAGCACCACAGGCCAGCAGGTGGAGGGAGAGGGCAGATACCAGCAGTAGGGACCCCCGCCAGGCATAGTGGTTAAGCAGCCACTGGAAGAGGGGGGCAAAGGCAAAGGAGGAGAGGCCCACGCCTGTCAGTGCCAGCCCCATGGCTAGGGATCGACGGTGAGAGAAGTAACGAGACAGGCAGGCCAGGGTCGGAGTGAAGGTCAAGGCCCAGCCAGAGCCTGCCAAAAAGGAAGAAATAGGGGTTGAGAGACTTAGACGGCTCAGAGTCCTCAGTAATCCCAACACTGCCCAGCAGCAGAATGTAGCACTGATTTAGGAGTCTCAAAGACCTGGGTTAAAGTCCTGGTTTTGATACTTTCTGTGGGACCTTGTGTGTGTTTACTTAACCTCTCAGCCTCAATCTCCTCATCTGCAAAATAGGTACAATATATCTCAGGATTGTGGAGGTTTAGAGATAATGTTTGTAAAGTAACTAGCACAGAACTTTCGATTTAGATGCCGGCTCTACCATTTCTGGCTGTGTGACATTTCTTTACCAAGTTGCATAACCTTTTAAAGTCTTTCTTCATCTGTACATAGGATAATGATATCTATTTCACAGCCAGAGAACCTGGCATGATATTATAGTAGTACTTCTTTCTACACTCCAGACCCACTAGCCCTGATTTTCTATATTCTGATTCATCATCTTTGAATTATTTCCCTACCGTGTTTATCAGAGTAGTCATCCCCCTACGAATTCCCTTCTGGGCATAAGTGCTAGCCATATTCTCCCCAAGACTTTTGGAAGGAGCAGGAAGAGTGTGAAAATTCAGAGGTCAAGACCCAGGCATTTCAGTCTCCTGCTTTTGCCCAAGGGCTCACCTGAAAGCAGCCCAATACTCAGGTATAGGTGAGTCAAGGAGGTAGCAAAGGAGGCGAGCAACATCCCCAGCGCAGCCAAGATGCCCCCGGCCATCACCACGGGCCTGGGCCCGAACTTCGTGCTCAGGGCACTGCCCACTGGGCCTGGAGAAGAGCAAGGGGTTCTGCGAGAAGATCTCAGGAGTCCTTCCCCAAGCATCCCCCCCCCCCCGCCCTGTCCCCGCATCCCCTCTCCCTTCCAAGGGACGCAGGACTCTGGACCCAGGCGCAGCACTCACTCCCAAACTGCTGTACAGCGATTCCTATGGAGGCGATCCAGGAGACGCGCGCCGCCCTCTCCTCAAACGCCGCCACAAACTCCACGAAGAAGACGCCGAAGGAGCGGAGCACCCCGAACACCAGCGCTGACTGGAAGAACGCTGAGAGCACCACCATCCACCCCCAGCCCCCGTCTGGGGGCTCAGCCCTGCGCACCATCTGGGCGGTACCAGGGCTGCTGCTACTAGAGACCGGGCTCAGGACGCTCTACCTCTGCCCACCCCGCCAGCCACCTAGCCGAGCGGCTCGGAGCCGAGCGGGGAAGGAGAGGCTGGTAGAGAAGAAGGTAGTGACGTGAGCTTGAAAGCTGCAGGGAGCGGCGACAGGCGACTGCGACTTTCCCCTAGAGGGGCGCTAGAAAAGGGGAGACCCAGCCGGAACCGGCTGGGCATTAAGCGCCTGGGGGTGTGGATCCTCAGGCCAGGGCGGTAGAGCCCAGGCCTAGGGCCGGCAGATGGCAGCGGGGCCAAGGTTTAGGCTGGGAGCCGGAGGGCGGGACTGAGTTTGGGCCACACCCCTCCGGCGCCGAAGTCTCCCTTTGTATTCTCTATCTTATTACTGGAGATGTCAGCACCTGACCCATCCCTGCCAACATCCTGGTCCACAGCTCGCCAATGAGGACGCAGGACTTCTAAGCAGGGGGTGGGGCTAGAAGGTAGGATGGGATTTAGGGCTTTGCGCCGGACAGGGTGAGTAAGGCGCATGCGTTAAGGGGGGCATTAGAGGCCGACTAGATAAACGATCGTTGTCCCGCAGGGACCTACTGGGCGTTCCTTCCAATTCTGTCGTTAATCTTGCGGGCCAGTTTCCCCAGATTTCAGAACCAAGATCCGCATGTAAAGAGTCCATGAGCAGTGGGAGGGTCAGGGGGGCTGATGGGTAAACTGGTTCAGGAGTGGAAAGTGCTCAGTTGCTTAATGAGGGGTGCAGGAGTTCCAAGTCTTCGGTGGGGTGGGGGAGAGGAGTTATGAGATGAGACTCAGCCGACATTCTAGGCTGAGCTCCTGAGGCGCTAAGTCAGCTCCTACAATCTAAACGCCTAGATTCCCTGAATCCTTGAGGGGTTCAAAGGACAAGGGAAGAGAGAAAGGGAAGGGGCTGGTGGACTCCTGGTGGGAATTCTCCATTCTGTTCCCACCAACAGGAAATATACAGGTCACAGAAACCGAAAATAGCCGAGAGGAAGGGCGTCTGTGAGTTCACTGAGGGCCCCACCAACACCACCTACCCCTTCCTCAGTGGAGCTGGAACCTTTTCCTCTACCCTAGTAACAGCCATTTCCTAACCATATTTTTTTTTTTTTTTTTTCAATTTCATGGTGGAAAGACTAAAGAGACAACCCATGACCCTGGCCACTGGAGCAGTCAGCCCCTCCTACCTTCCCAGTACCCAGGCTCCTAGCAAGTACACCCCAGTCCCTCCGCTGTAAATAAAACCAAATAAAACCCATTGCTGTCAGTTGACTCTGACTCATACTGACCTGTAAGACAGAGTAAAACTGCCCCATAGGGTTTCCAAGGAGCAGCTGGTGGATTCGAACTGCTGACCTTTTGGTTAGCAGCCAAATGCTTAACCACTATGCCACCAGGGCTCCCCCTCAGCTACGTATAGCACCAAATTCTGTCTTAGGTATCTAGTGCTGCTATAGCAGAAATACAAGTGGATGGTTTTAGCAAACAAAAATGTATCCTCTCACAGTTTAGGAGGCTAGAAGTCTGAAATCAGGGTGCTGGCTTTAGGGCAAGGCTTTCTCTCTGTGTTGGTGCTGGGGGAAGGTCCTTATCTCCTTTCAACAACTGTAGGCCTGGCATTCTTTGGAGATCTCTATGTATCTTGGCATCAATCTTCCCCTGGGTCTAGGCGGTTCTCAGTGCAGGGACCCCAGGTTCAAAGGACACGCTCCACTCCCAGCTCTTCTTTCTCGGTGGTAGTGAGGTCCCTTTAAGATCTTGCTTAGAAATATCATCAGTCAGAGATTCAAGTTCATCATTTACAAGTTCTACCTTCTACCAAAGAGTCAAGTTCTTTGCCATTGCATAAAAAGTATTGCCCATCTTCCATTGTCCAATCACATGTTCATCATTTTCTTTTGAAGCCTTACCAGAAGCACATTTAATGTCCACATTTCTAGCAACATTTTATGGCTTGGCACCAGATGTGTTCTCTTCCTCATCATAATTCAAGCTCCCCCGGACCTTGAAACCTTGGGCTCAAGGGTTCATACCCAGACCAATGGGGAGAGAGGCATACCAGAAAGAAGAAAGGAGGGAAGCTGTCTAGTTTGAAAAGTAGTCTCAGCCTTATAATTTTATATGTGGAAAATAAAAATAATCATACCTTAGTTTTTAAAATTTTTTGTTAAGTAGACACATAATTTTGGCCGGTGGGGAAGATGCCGAAAATGAAGAAAGAGGTATGGCCATATAACATCGTGGCTAAGAGCTTACTCTTTAGAGTGAAATCACAGTTGGTTCCTCATCTATTAATTAGGGATAATAATAGTATCTACTTTGGAGGTTTTTTTTTGGCGGGGGGGCAGTTGAATTAGAAAATCGCGCACTAAAATGCTTAGTTGAGGGCCTGGCATGTAGTAGAAGATAAGTAATACTAGCTGGTCTTTTTATTTTCAGCAGGGGATAAACTGTAGTAGGGGGTGAGGGAACACAGAGGTTTCAGTTTTGGTTTCTCCTGCTTCTTTTTTTTTGTTGTTTTTTTTTGAAAACTAATCCAGATCATGGGTTTTAAAAGATTGAGAAATACGACCACAACTGTTAAAGCCGGAAGAAACTTGAGAGGCCATGTTAATTGACTTACTTCACAGATAAAGAATTTAAGGCCCAAAGGAGGTAACTTATCAGAATTAGTGATAATCTACCCCAGGGTCAGAACAGATCTGTGCACCTAGGACACACCCAGGACAGGGGAAGGGTGGGAGAGCAGCGTGCACTGGTCACTGGACACATACCAAGACAGCACTGCTGGGGAGGGTGGAGTTGGCATGTTGTCTCTAACTAAACGGCCTTCTCAATGCCCCCTCCAGCCCCTGTTATCCTCACAGGATCCAAATCCTATCCATTTCTCCAACTTCATCCTACTTCTTGGTGGTGGTGGGGTCCCAAACATTAAGATTCCCAGCACAGACCCATCCCTCAGGTTCTTGGTGTTATTGGTGGGTTTCTGCTTTCTCCCTGACGCCTCCACACCTCAGGCAGGAAGTGACTTCAGAGCAGCAGGATGCAGGTGGCTCCGGAGAAACTTCATGAAGTCACAGGTCCCTACACAATGAACCGGAAGGCAAGGGTGGGGAAGGGGAGAGCAAGGGCCATTTAAAATGTCTGATGGGATAGGATGATAGAACAGGGACAGAATCCAAGACAGTATCCAGGAGGGAAGAGCCCTCTTCCCCAAGCCCCCAGCTTCCCATTGGCAAGAATCTAGGACACAACAGGCAACAACACTGAGAGGCTTCTTTATTCCAAGAATCTGACCTTGCAAAGATCTAACATCTCCACTGTGGTCCTTCACCCCCAGGCACTTTCCACCTGCCCATCCAATCTGCTAAATAAAACCCATAATTCTTTCTCTCATCTCTCCTCTGCTTTCCCTCCCTCCTTCTCCAAGTCTGCAATGTGGCAATGGGGAGCTAGAAGGAAAGGGGGAGAAGATTAGCTTTCTCACCAGTCCCCAAGTGACACCCACTAGTACTGACCTATCTTGAGGGAGCTCCACCTTACAAATTCAAAAGTGCTCCTTACCCCCACCCCATGGCCCATAATCAAATAAGCCCCAGGGCAACAAGGTGCAGGACTGTAAATCAAGGAGTATCATCCAATGTTCAAGATACTCCACCCAGCCAAGAGGCAATCCCACTCCTAACTTTCTATCTACTTGGCCTATACCAGAAACTGCACTCCTCAACCAACCTCTCCATCCTACTGGGATACCTGTTAACTAGAAGGGGCCTTTGGCCCATCAGTCAGTCAATCAAAAGGAACCTTTTAAATCTTTAACCCCATCAGTAATGTAATGTCAACCATAATCTACAGCAATCCCAGAATGGAACTCAGCCCCGTTCTGTTCTCCTCCCTGTGGAAGGTTCTAGTGCATTCAATGGTGTCAGGCAGGAATGCAGTGACAGAAAGACTGGGTCACAGACCCAGCTTTTCTAAGGTAAGAAAGTTACCAAGCACCTGTGACTTACAGAGACAAACAAGTTTCTGGAATCTGGACATCTGCCAGACAATATCCAAAAATCTGTTCAAGGAAGAAGGGGCCCATCTCAGGTAGAGAGAAGCCCAAGGAACATTCAAAATCCAGATGCTTGTTAGTAAAGAATGGGTCATGCCTCAGATTTAGTCAAGGTAAAGAGTTTTGTAATTCTCTCATAGGTCATAACATTGTTAGAGGCTGGCAGAATCAGAAGTCATATCACCTCTGATAAGGAATTTCAGATTTCTCTCCCATGGAAGGATCAACCCGGAGCCAAGAACAGGCCCCCATGGGAGGATTATGGGCTCGACTCAAGCCCCTGGGTCTGCTCTGCCATGATAGATTTGTATCTAGAACCTGACTTGTATCTAGAACCACAGTGAAGCCAGACCCAGGTGACCAGATTAGTGGGACAGCTTAAGTTCTAGGTCACCTGGCAAGAAAGATGACCAACCTCCACACCTACAGCCTCTAGGAGGCATTTACTACTTCCATTTTAGGATCACCATGAAGGTTCCTATCACTCTTGAAGTACAAAGAAAAATCTAGATGCAGTTCTAGCCTGCTAGAGAACCTACAATATCCAGAATATCAGAGAGGGTTCCTGACCCAGTTCTACAATCCCATATGTCCCCAGACCTGCCCTAGAGCAAATGAAAGGTTCCAGACCTAGAAATAGAGGGGCAGAACATAGGAAACCGCTTTCTCCATTTTAAACAAACCAACAGGCACACAAATAGCAGAAAGAACAATTCTACAGGTAAAAGTTATGACAATAATAATATAAAACACTCAAGCCAAAGGAGAGGGCCAAATGCTAATCTCTGCCAGCAGAGCTGTGACCTCACATTCTGTGTTTTGGGTCACTTTTGATCACACTTGTGGAAAAGGAACTGGGAAATGCAATAGAATGAAGGCCCTGGTGCCTCCCAAAGGCCTCAATAAATTATATTTACACATAAACTGAATGAGATGGGGGTGCAGGCTGAGGGCCGTTCCCTTAAGGCAACCAGGTCTCCAGTCTCTCCCCTCTCCTAGCCCCAAGCTTGCTCTCTCCTCAGAGACAATTTTGATTGTGGGGAAGAGGTTTTGGCCAGCAAAACAGAGGCAGATCTAGGCGGGACCTGCCACCCCAGCTCTTCCCGGTAATAAATCAAGGTAGTGGCAATTTCTGATACTGCTGGGGCCTGGCACACTCCCATGCCCAAGTGTGACCTGGAAGAAGCCAGGCCTGGGCCCACAGCATCTTGGTTCCCAGGAGGCAAATGGAGCCTGGGCCCGCCTCAGCTAGGCCCCCCCAGAATGTGGTAGTGCACTTTGGTGTTGGTGGCAGCCCCGTGTTTCTGGCGCAGATGCAGCCGCAGTTGACTCTTGTGCCGGAAATGCAGGCCACAGGGGTCGCACTGTGGGAGAACAGAAGGTCAGACCCCTCCCCGTCCACAATCATCTTTTAGTTCTTGTGCAAGGGGGAATTGTCCTACTCTCAGCCAAATAAGAAGCCCTTTGGCCCTCACGGCCTCCCAAATCCCCAGGGGCGTCCTCCCAAATCCCCAGGGGCATCCTCCCAAATCCCCAGGGGCAGTATAGGAGATAGACCCCACCTTCTTCAGCAAAGGTTTTCCCACTTGTTAGTCCCCCCTCCCCACCAGGGACTTCCTGGGTGGCACATACAGTTAAGTGTCTGATTACCCGCTGAAAGATTGTCGGTTCAAACCCACCCAGAGGCACCTTGAAAGAAAGCCCTGGCAATCTGCTTCCAAAAGGTCATAGCCTTGAAAATCCCAAGGAGGACAGTTCTACTCTGCACACATGGGGTCACCATGAGTCGGAATCTGCTCCACAGCAGCTGGTTTGGTTTTTTTGTTTGTTTAGCTCCTCTGGAGGAAAATATCACTTGCGCCATCCAGGAGCATAACTTCTGTGTCTGCCCTTCCCCACCCCCACCCCTGGCCCTAATTAACACGACTTCCCCCAGGCACTGCCTATTTCTAAGACATCTAGGGAGTGCAAGCCCAGCTTCTTTCAGAGCCCCACCCCTGGGCTAACAGAAGGTTATTCTAAAGCTTCCAGCCAGGCCAGCTACCCACGTGGTAAGGCTTCTCTCCCGTGTGGATGCGAACGTGGCTCTTGAGGGTTTGCAGGTGGCGGAAGCGCGTCCCGCAGGTGGGGCAAGGATAGGGTTTCTCCCCAGTGTGGATCAGCACGTGCGCGCGCAGATGCGCTACCTGGGATGGGGGGAGACCTTAGATGGTGCTTCTGGGAGGGACAGAACCCTCCAGATATGGCCCGCCCTGCCCTTCTGCAGGTTTGCCTCTGAACTCGCTCGCAGGCTGGCTCCGTACCTGGACAAAGCGCGAGCCACACGTCTCACACTTATAGGGCTTCTCTCCCGAATGGATGCGGCTGTGCGTCTTCAGGTTCGCAGGCCGGTTAAAGCGGGCTCCGCAGATGGAGCAGTGGTAGGGCTTCTCTCCTGCGGGCAGGGAGGAAGGGAGGTCAGGGACTTTGCCCCTGGACATCTGTGGCCAGAAAGGTCACAGGGCCCTCACCTCCCTGCTCGAGGCTACCTGTGTGCACAGTGCGGTGACTGGAGAGGTTGCCCTTGTAGCGGAAGGCAGAGTGACAGAGCTGACACTTGTAGGGCTTGTCCTCCTCCCCAGGAACCAAGGGGTCCAGCCCCGATGAACACCCAGCCATTGCCTCACAATTCTGGCAGCTGACAAAATCTCTTCCTGGGCAGGGAGGTGGGTAATGACAATAGTTATTTACGGGAAGCTTTCTTGGTACCAGTGAATCCTACACATTGGTAGGTTTTCTTTTCCCCAATTTACAGTTAAGACTTCTAGGGCTCATTTAACTTGCCCAAGGCCCCATGGTTAGAAAGAGGATGATGAGCCAAGATCTGACTCCACACCTGTCTGACTCCAGAATACTCTGCTAATCTCCTCTCCAACAGTGGTGGTGGTCAGTGGCGGCCCCTACTAGTGAATGGAGGTTTCTGTTTCTCCCTTCTCTCTTGTACCACTCTGGATGACAAACCTGCCAGAGAGGCCCAGCCAAGCCCTGGGCAGACCACTCAGCCCTGGTTGGGGATAGGCCAGAACTTCCCAAGCTTTGCTGCTCACTTCAATAATACTAATGCCTGGCTCCTACATCCAGACATTCTGATCTATGGGATGTGGCCTGGGCATTAGGAGTTTTAAAAGCTCCCCAGGTGATTCTAATTTGCAATAAAGTTTAGAAACCATTGCAATAGGCCTTTCCAGAGGCGTTTTGGCCCAAAGTGGCCTGGAGCAGCCACAGGAGAAAAGTCAGGAAGGAGGGGCTCTCACCTGGTGGTGGACGAGCCCGCTCAGAGGGTGATCCAGTGGTCTCTTGAGCCAGGGGTGTGAGGAGATGGGGGGTATTGGCTGAAGTCCCAGATTTGAACTGTATGGTGGCAGCAGTTAGAGAGAGCCTAGCAGATGGCAACACCCAGAGAAAAAGGTTAGGAGAGATTATATGGATAGGGATTCTCCCTGAAGAACTTGGAGCCAAAGGCCTAGCCTCTGGAGGTGAGCTACTATTGACCAATGAGCCATATCCAATTGGTTGCCAAAGTCCCACCCATTGAGTAAGCCTGGCCTCACTCCCTAAGGTGGGCTATCAGTTGCCTTTGAGTCGATTTTGACTCATAGCGACCTCATAAGTGTCACAGCAGAACTGTGTTCCACAAAGTTTTTAATGGCTGATTTTTCAGACCTCCAGGCGTTTCTCCAGAGGTACCTCTGGGTGGATTTGAACCTCCAACCCTTCAGTTAGCAGCCAAGTGCATTAACCGTTTGTGGCAAGATGGCAAGTATCTCTGAAAACCCAGCCCCCATCTCCCTGCCTCCTGACCACCCAGACCCAATGGCTCTGCCTCCTAGCTGAGGCCAGTCTCTATGAATTCATGGTTCCAGATTCTGTACCTGCTCTGGGGACCAGGAATGGGTCCTTCTTCACTGCTGCTGCTGCTGGAGGCCTCATCTCCACTGGGGAGCCTGGCTTGGGGGTAAGGTTGACCAGAACTCCTCTCTCCCACCAGGCTTCCTGCTTGAGAGGCCTGAGAGTTTAGCACGATGAACTTATACTTCTTCCAGTTGCAGGCCTTAGGGTCTGGACTGGGGGGACCTTGACTGCAGCTGCGAGACTCAGTAGGTGGGTCTGGGTGCCCTTCAGAGCGCCTGGGACTGCCTGGAGGAGGGGCCGTCGGAGGTGTGGGGGGCTCTGTTTCCAAGGGACGCAGGGAGATGCCCAGAGGTTCATAGCTGGGAAAAGTGCAATGGACATTAGTGCTATTGGCTGACCGTGGCTTCTGCCCTTGATACGTGGGGTACCACCTCACCCATGCTGACCACTGAGCCAGGGCTCCCTCACCTGGCCTGGATAAAGCGGTGGCATGCCTGGACCACATGTTCCATCTGCAAGTAGGTGGCAGCTGCAAGGACAGCTGGGGCGGTGGCCGGAGAGAGGCGCAGGCGCGAAGTGTACATGAAGTCCAGAAGGGGAGCAAAGCCTCCAGCTTCGGGACCCCCAGGCAGGGAGAGCACATCCACCCCCACTCCAGCACGGCCCCGGAAAATTGAATAGAAGAAGCCACTAGAAAGAAGGCAGATAGATCATGTTAGGGGATGGGGAGACCCACTCCCCTGTACAAAGTCTCCTTAAGGTAGACTCACTCCACTGTACAAAGTTACACCCCTAGAAGCCCCGCCTCCCCCACTATCACCCCGCCCCAATTCCGGGAAGCTCCGCCTCATGCTTTTCAGGGTTTAGCTTCGAAATCCCTACCAATGGCCTTAAGGCTCCGCTCCTTCCCATCTGGCCCCGCCCCAGCCCTCCAGCCCCATCCCTCTAACCTGCAGGCGATAAGAACCGCCTTGTGCGCTCGGAGGGGTTGCCCGCCAACCAGCAGCGTGACGTCAGTGAGTATCCCGCGCAGGCGCAGCTCATTCAGATTGCCGAGTACGTCGGAGGAGTGGCGAGTGAACTCGCGGACATAGCCTAGCGCTCCCTCCGGGGCTGCGGTGGAACCCATAGCGACGCCGGCCTGCGAGTGCCATGGAAAGGGCTCAGGGATCCAGGCAGTCCTAATTCGGAAGACCAGATGCCTTCCCGTTCTCAGTTTGCCTTTTCCTCCAAAGGTGTAGCTAAGACCCGGCCCCGGCACGCACCCTCACTTAATTCTTGTTGTTCATTCTGTGCTCCTCCCTCCTGCAGATCCCACAGCACTCGTGGCAGGTTGAAGGTTCCCACCCTGCGGCGGCGATGGAGAGCATGGGGAATCCGGCGCGCAGCGCCCTTAGTTTGACTCCTAGTACCCCTCTGGCACCCTCACTCCCCTCTGCTTCGCTGCGCACCTGAGTCTCAGATATCCCACCCGCCCAGAGATCCCCGACGACCTGCGGTCCACACCTCCAACTCCCAGTCCAAGCTCCTTTCCCTGAACCACTGAATTCTGCTGCTCCTATCTGGTCCCCGATTCCTAGTTTAGCCCAATTCTTGGGACTCAGTCTTCCTACCATCAACAAGCTCCAACCCTTCTTAGGGGACCCAGGAGTCTGGCACCCTCAGTCTCTAGTTCTTACCCCCGTCCTGCAGGGGCTGCGGCTTCTCTTCTCAAGGGAGGCGGGGTCTCTCCCCTCTTGGCCCCGGCGCCTTTATCGGGCCGGGATGGCGGGGGCGGGGGTGGAGGTGGGGTGACCGCCTGGATCTGTATCCTTCCTTCCTCCCTCGCCTCTCCAGATGGCAAGCCCGGGGCGGGGTCTCCGGCTCGAGGGCGGGATCTCAGAAACGTGGGGTGGTCGTTACTGAAAAGTAAGGGGTCCTGAGCCACTGAAAGTGGAACTGAGGATGGGGATGTTGGAATTGGGGAGGAAGCTGGGGACATCGGGGTTGGAAATATGGGTGACCTGGGTCGTTGGAGGGTTCGGGACTGAGAAAATTGGTGTGGTGGCTTTTGGGAGAAGATACTAGGAGCCTATTGCAGAAGACAGTGAATACAGCAAAACTCCTCCATCCAGTGCACGGTGTTAAGGGAAAAAGAAGCCCAGCGAAGCACCAGGTTAGGGAGGATAGTGGGCTCCCACGGGGTCTCAGACAGCGGGAGGGTGTGGTGTGAGTGGCAGGCTCCTCCAAAGGGTCCTACAAAAAGGGGGACTCTGACTGGGCGGGGTAGTGAGGTGGCGGATATGATTTCTAGTTGGTTTCCTTCCATTGTCCTGCGACCGGAGCCAGCTGCTTCCCCTCGAGGAGGTGGGGAAAGCCCCGTGTGGGGGCCGAGAGACGCTCGGGAGATCTAGGCGTCCGGCCTCTCGCTCCCAATTCTCTTCTGAATCCTTTTAGGGATCCGGAGAGACATACTTAAAGTCCGGCCCTCCTCCCCCAATCCCAGCTCACTAGGTCCTCGGGTACCCGCCCGCCGGTCGGCCACGCTTTGAGGCTGGCGGGACGCCGGGGTCCAGCGCGGCAAGTCGGTAAAGGTCTGCAATGTCCGGCTCCTTCCACGAGGGGGCAGACGAGCACTAGCCTCGCCTCGCCCGATCGTCTCCACCGGCTGGGGGTGCGCTGTGACAGGGGCGCAGGATCTGTTCGGTCCGAGCGGCGAAAACCTTCGGCCTCCCGCACTTTGCGGTGGCTTATTTTGACCCTCTATCTCCTAGGAAGGGAGTAATGTTGGGCGGAGAGAAGGAGAGTTAGGGAACAGAAGGGACTCCCCCAGGCGGATTCCTACCTGGGGAAGGGGAAGGGTGGATTGGACTTTCCTGCTTCCCTAAAACGGGGGCAATGAGCTTGATTTTCTGGCCGCTAGCCTTTTGGGGAGTTCCCCCCTCCCGGGTGTGGAAGCGAGAAGTCCTACCTGGGGTGAAAAACCGCGGGCTTTTGGGAACAAGGGCAATGGGTGGGAGAAGGAGAGGGACCTGAGTTCAGGACTTTCTTTTCTAATCAAGACAGACGCTATTATCCAGAGGTGTTTAGAGGTGCGTTTTTACGAAAATTGGGTGGGGTAAACAGAAAGAAGGGAAAAGAATGAGGTTTCCAGGAGGTAGAGAGGGCAGGAGGGGCCTGCTAACCCTATCTAATAGATAGGCATGGGCACCACCCTCAGATTTTGTTTGAGCAGACCTTGGGGGACCAAGGTTTATTTGGAGAAGGGGAGCCAGAGCTAAGTCCAGCTGCAAAGCAGGAGCACCTTGGATTTGGGCTCAGGAGAGTCTACAGTTGACCAGGAACCACTGACCACTGTCCGTGGAGCTGCATGTTCAGGCCTGATCCCCTCCCCCTTTTTAGATTTGAGAATGTCTTTATTTGGGGGGCACAAAAGAAGAGCTGAGAAACTGGGAATCAGGGACCACTAACGATTCAGGATGGTAAGGAGGCTTTCACACATGAGGGTTGTCTTGAGTGATCTCTGCCCAGTTTGGGGGTGGGAATTAGACTAGGGAGGGGCTTCGCTTTGGTATCAGGATGGAACTGATATTCTGTTATCCGCTCAATTGTGGGGTGACGTGCCTGCTTATTATGGGGTGTTGAGTTGGTTTGATTGTTATGAGCACTTGGGATGCATTCTGATTTGAGGGCCTATGGTAATTTTGAGGCATAGGGCTCCTTTTCAAGCTAGATTAATTCTGGGGGTTCTGACGTCTACAATTTGGAGTTTGTACCCATCTCTGTCATCTTGGAATATCAGGAGAGCCTGCTAGGTGTTCTTTGGGAAGTGGATGAGGGTTTTATTTTAGGGGTTCATAGTCACTGGTGTATATTGTCAGTTGAGGTTCTTATCAGCCTGATTTTAAGTACAGAAGTCATGCTTATTTGGGGGTGCAACCTGTTTTGGGGTACAATATAAGTTTCAAGGCTCACATTAGCTTGTCAAGGTTATGAAGTTCAATTTGGCATTTTTTATTAGCTTGAGGTGGAGCATAATAGGAACCTGGCAGCAAGTTTGAAGGTCTGTTGTAATTAGGGGGTGATATTTTTGCGGGGATTAAAGCTTTGTATTTGAAAGTTGTGGAAAACTTACTTGGGGGGGACATTCCCATATATGCATGGATAGCTAAGAAGCCTTTTCTGCGGGGAAAAATGACGGGAGGCCCCCCCAGGGTGGGAGAGAAAAGTTTTGGGGTACCCTTATTTTGGGGGTATTTTGCTGCATTTTGGGTGCATTTGGTGAAGCTGAGGAGTGGAGCATAGGGTGAGATTGATTTGGGGGCTCGTTTAATTTGAGAAACGATGTTGCTTTGGTGATGTCTTTTGCTTTTAGGTCTCTCTCAGATTCTAGAAATCTCTTTCTTTACTGAACCCCCAAATAAGCTTAGTTTGGGGATGGGAGTTAGAACCCAGATTTGAAGGGAGAAGTTTGGAAAGGGAGTGCTTTCTCCTCTTATTTTTATGTGCCTTGGCTAGATCTGAGGGTGAAAGGGTGGTTTCAGGCTGCGAACCCCAGTTTCTTAAGGGAGCACATCTCGGTTTGGGGGAAGGTGGGAAAAATGGGGTATCTTGTGGTTAACGGGACACCCCTGACCAGAACAGTGCTGTTAGAACTGTGGCAAGGAGGGGTAGTGGTGGGGTACAAGGAGATGATTCATGAACCCTGGTTTTCTAGGATAAGAGCCCTGAACAGAAAGCAGACAGAGGACCCGGAGTGTGGGTGAGATGCAGCGGGGAGGGGTTCCCAACGGCAGCAGGGGCTAGAGGGTAAGCCAGGCCAGCTCTGAAGCCTGGGTCCCCGCTCTTTTCGGCTCTCCTCCCCTCTCTCCCTCCCACCGCCCACCCCCCCAACCCAAGGAAAAAAAAACTGCCTGTGCAACAGCAATGGCAGATTCCAATCCTCCAGGCTTTCCTTAACCACCACCGAGACCAGCCAGGGGGGAGGGGTGGGGAGGATCGGGCTTTCCTGCTTTCCTAAGACAGGGGCAATGAGCTTGACCTCCTGGCCCCTAACCCTTTGGGCAGTGCCCTCTGGTCTGGAAGCCAGGTGTCCTGGACCCTAGCCCCTGAGCGAGGGGGGGGGCCTGGAGAGACGGGGAGGAGGAAGGAGGGAGTGACTTCCAAAATTGGCATATGGACAGAGCAGGGCTGGCGGGAGGCAGGCGAAAGGCAGAATTTTCCTGAAAAAACGGGGCTATCTGAGGACCCCAAATTTGGGGAACTAGTCCAGGACCGTCCTCCCAACATCCTAGATTTTTTTGAGATTTTTTGGGGGCTCCAGGACCCTTCTAGATGGGGTGAGGAATGTAGTGTTGGGGGAATCTGACTGGGGCATTGCAGCTGCCTCTCCCGCCGAGTTGGAGACGGATGGGCTGGGACGGGTTTGGGGGGGGTGTCCCCAATTCTGACTGGGAATGGAGAAGCCCCCTCCTGAGCTCTGTTGTGGGGGTCCCCCCTCCCTAGAGCACTCCCCACTCTCTAAGCCAGTCGAGAGGAAGGAGGCCAGCGATGCGACTGGGGCGGCTCCTTTCTCCTGCACCCCAAATGTGAGGGATGCACCCCAAATTTTTCTCCCTCCAAAAATAGGGGACCAGGATCTCAGGGGAGAGTAGCTGAGGTAAGTGGGGAGGACAGTGTCCCCTGTTTTCAGGAGAGACGTGGCGGTTGGGGGGGAGGTTTGGAGGTGCGTGCTGGGGTGGGGTTGGGCTTTGTGAGTCTTGGAACTGGGGAGATGATTGGGGAGACTTTCTCTTATGCCCCTAAACTGCAGTTCACCAGATGGAAACCAAAAACTGAGACCAGAGGGCCCCCCAACATCTCCCAGCCGTTACTATAGTGTTTGATTTCTGTTTCACCCCCTACAGAGGCTTTGCCGAGGATGGGAGCTGGGGTCAGCTGCTCAGTTTGGGGGCTTCAGAGGGTGGAGTAAGGGGCAGGAGGCCTTGGCAGGATTTGGTGTAGGACATACAGGCGTTTTGGGGGAGGGGGTCGGGCATTCTTCAGGGCCTAAAAAGACTGCTTAGATACACCATCGTAGAGCTTTTTGATTGCTAGGAGTTTCGGGGGGTGTGTCGGAGGGGGGTGGAATGGGAGGTTGGAGGATAACTTTTGGTTCTTAGAGGGTATTATTTTGATTTGCATAAGGGATTTTGGTCCTTAGATTTTGCTTTCTGGGGGGTGTTTTTAAAAGAATCAAATCCTGGACAGGAGAAAAAAGCTGAGGGAAGGCCCAGGGTGGGGGTGGGGAGAGGCATGTTTGTCTCAGCTTAAACGTGGCTCTCTGGGGTGGGCCCGCCCGCCTGGGCCTGGTGGATGGGCTGATGAGGGTTGTTGCAGGGGTGAGGCCTGGGTCCTCGGAGGGGGGCAATGGGGAGTGGGGACAGCGCTGGTGGTTGAAGACCTGACCCCCATGTCCAGATGACCCTCTTCCTGGGCCCTGCTGCTCCCCTTTCCCTCTGGCCTCCATTTCCTGCCTTTGGCCTCCATCTTGTGGCAGGCCCAGGGCCCAGGGCGACTTCCGGCCCCCCTCTCCCAATCATGTTCCGGCCCCACCACCTCTGGACTGCCAACTCCCAACCCTGCTGTCCTTGGCCCTCTTTCTCTCCTTGCTTTTCTCTTGGGTTCTGACCCAGGGAGGGGAGGAATGGACACAGGAAGCTTGGGTCCCTGCCCTTGCTGAGTCGGAGGCAGTTCGTTGGTTCCCCCCCGCCCCCACCTAGTCATTCCCTAGTTCCTCCGCCTGACCCCACCCTAGAGATCCTGAGGTGAATCCGTTCAGGGGAAAATGGCTCCAATCTTAGGATACTGTGAGCTCATCTCTTAGGCCCCTCTCCCTCCAGTTGCTCAGCTCTTATCCCTGGCTTCTTGTTTTTCCCAACCTTTCTTGGGCCATGTTTGCTTTTGAAGTCTTCTCTATCTCCCTGCTCTTGGTGGTTGTCATGGTGAAGGGGTCTTCACAGACTGTCTTGTCTTCTCTTCCTGTCAACCCACCCAAGTCCTGCTCCCGCCCCAGCAGCACACTGTGGTTTGTACGGCACTGTGGCCACGTCCAAACCACACTGTGGTGTTAGAGCGAGGGTGGGGGAGGCACCGCTGAGGCCTGGCCCTGGGAGGCCACCCTGGAGACTCGACACAAAACCCATCTAGGGCCTGTGACAAACTCCTTGCAGGCGGGGAGGAGAAGGAGGCAATATGAAAGCACTGGAAATAGCTCTCCAAAATCCCCAAGGTAGTCTCAGGAATCCGACTGCCAGAGACCCTGGGATAAGTTCTAACTCCAGAGAGCCTGAAGTGGAGTCATTGTTGCCCACACCCAGCTCCCCTGGCTCTAGCAGCACAGAAATATTGGCATGGGGAAGAGAGTCTACCAATATTGGCTGTGCTGCTGCAGACAGGGTGGCTAGCGCTGCCCAGGAGGGGCTGAGCCCCTGAGGGCTAAGGAGAGGAGATAGAACCGCCCCTTGCATTCCAATAATGTCAAGCCGAAGACACCAAGCCGAGAGGGTAGTTTTTATTGTTTTCTGTATAAAAATGTCCATCAGGTGGAGGTCAAAGGGATTGGAGGCAGATGCCTGCCTATACAGGGACAGTAAGGTGGACCTTCCCAGCCCCAGCAGCCTTTTGACTTTCTCTCGTGTAGGCCTTGGTCCGAGTCCCAGATGATCCAGGGGTCCAGGGTGAACAGTGAGAGGGGTCAGAGGTGGAAAGCTCCGTGGGAGAGCAGAGGGTCAGCAGAGGTCATGAGAAGTCCCAGAATCTAGGGTCAGGCTGTCTGGAACAGGAAGTAAAATAAGCAGAGATGGAGCGAGCCCCAAATATGCTTTCAAGAAAACGCCCACCTCGCCAAAGCACCCCGCTCCTGACTGACCCAAACCCCTGCACCGTGTATAAGAGAGCACCTTCCTTTCCAAAGCCCCTGTACAAAGGAGGGGGCTCCAGCTGAGACCCGCCCTACCAGCCAGGTGAGCACTTCCTCCCCATCCCCTTCAGCTGGTGTTGGGGGAGGAGGACTCCTACCCTGGTCGAAGTTGAGTTTCTTGGCTGGAGGGGTTTCTCCTAGCCCTTCAATATCCACTAGGTCACTGTTGGCGTCGGAGTCATTCAGAGCACTGAGTGTCACATCTGGGAGGGGGGCATAAGCTAGGTTCTAGCTTCCCCTGGCTGCCCTCCAGCTTCCCAAGGCTTCATGCCCCCCACCCCAAGTCCCTCTCTGGGAACCTCCACAGGGAGAGGAAGAGAGATTTGTCCTTCTCTGACCCAGGCCCAATTCTCTCACTGAACCTCAGCTGGGATCTTTAACCCCTAGGCAGCAACTCCACAGCCCTCACCAGCCTTCTGCTTCTTTATGGGGGGACCCCCGGCCTCAGGGACAATGGAGCTGCTGGGTGGAGGGGCTGCTGGAGGAGGCGACAAAACACCAGATGCCACCTTCTTGGGCCCTTTCTTGGGTGACTCAGCAGGAAGGGGGATGCCAGAGTCTTCATATACCTTGCGTTTCACGGTGGCCTTTATCTGAGCCCTAAGAGAAGAGAGAGGAAGGCGTCATCAGAGAGGCTGAAGGAAGAAAGGGAGGAGGGGATGGAGTAATGGGTCCTTCTGAAAGAATTCTGGGGAGCCCCTTCCTAAGAATCTAGGTCAGGGCCCCAACCTTTGGTAGGGTTCTCATTTTCCTGAAGCTTTGAACTCAGGGCAGATGGAGTGTGAAGAGTCAAGTCCCTGAACTGAGTACCGGGCAAGGTCCATCACCTAATTCTCTTCTGGGAGAGTAGTGTGGATGTGGAAGGCTACCAGGTAAGGCTTGGTGATCTACAGGTAGACTGAGAATTATTAGTGGATCTTGATCAACTAGTTCAGAATCACAATATTCCTGGACACACTGTAGTAGTCTCAAAAGATTTATATAACTAACTAACCAGGGAACTCCCACAAAGCTCTATATAAATAACCAGGCAACTCCTATTATCAAATTCAATAAGCGGGTATCTCAGGCAACCTAATGTCAAGTTCTTGATTACCATTAGAAACTTCTGACCAATTGTGACAATTCTTGTATTCTTTCAGTTCTCAAGGGGATGCTAACAAAACTAGCCAGCGAAGTAGGAAAGGTATTGAGCTGGTTGGGAGTTCTGAGGAGGATGGAACAATGGGTTCGGAGGAAGAAAGCTGCCCACCCCCTTTCTCTGCCAGCCACCCTCCCTCACACTGTCCGTTCCTTGATGACACAGCTGATGTGATTAAGATCGTCCCCAAATCGCTTCACAGCAGCCCTCAGCATCTCTATTTCCGTCTCCGTCCACTTCGCACTGTCAGAAGGGAGAGGGGGGACAGCAAAAGAGGAAGGAGGGATGTGGAGCCAGCCCATAGCTATGCAGTCCCCAGCCAAACAGCCTCCTCCATCCCAATCTCTGGGGTCCCTCCCATACATATATCATAGAGATCCTTTATAAAAAGCTTTTAAGGTCCTGTGGGAACCTCGAGGTCCCTCAACCACGATATCCCAAACCACCTTAGAACACCTCTCTCTCGCATCAACCTGCTGCTGTGTAAAGCCCATTGAAACCAGTTCAACAAGTAGGATAACAAATAGAACCCCTGAACACAAAGTTTGCAGCAGTCTGAGAAATTCCACGTGATTTGGGTTGGTTGCGGTCTGTGATCTCCCGGTACGCACGCAGCAGGGTATAGCTGTAAAATATGAGTCCCGCTGATGCGCCTTCGTCTGTGTTTTCATCTGTCATTCATTCATTCATTCAACATTTATTCACACCTACTCTTCGCTGTGCCAGGCACAAAGGGAAACTAACATCTATCTGTCCCTGCCCTAGAGAGTGTCCGTGTCTGTGATCGACTCCAAGCGTCCTCACTCGGTGTTCACGTCCCAGCCCGGGCTCACGTACCCCGCGGGAGAAGAGTCGGATACGGGATGCAGCTGCATCGTCAGCTCCCCAAGTTTCGTGAAGGCGGCGCCCGCCGCGGAAAAGATCTCTCCGACCTGGGGGCGGGGCAGCATTACCGGGAGCCGGCGCACACCCTCCGCGCCGTCCCGCCCGAAGCCCCTAGCCCCACCCCAGGCTCGGCCCTCCAGGTCACTCCCTCGCCCGCCCCAGCACCCCGCCCCGGGCGGATAAGTCAGGAGCCAACTGGGGGGCCCGCCCTCCCGTGGCCGCCAGAGAGCGCTGTCGCAAGGGAGGCCGAACCTTGGTGGACGCTGACGTCATGGCACCGCGCGCCTCCTCACGGAGACACTGCTGCTGCCACTGCCACGCGAGCCGGGACCACAGAGGGCCCGGCGACCGCACCGCTCCGGCCACCGCGCAGGAAGTCCCGCCCCACCCCACCGCTGATTGGCTCGAACTCGTCGGCCAGCGGCCTCACCAACCACAGTCACTTAAGCCGCCTCCGCGCCCCCAGGGAAAAGGAGGTGGAAAACACGCCCCACTTCCGGGTTCTGCTTCTACTTCCGCTGAGGGGTCCACAGTTGGAGGCCGACGTCCAACGTTAGTCCCGTGTCCGCCACCTCACACAAGCACGGACACAAGGCTTAAGAGAGCAGTTTCTCTTTATTGTGGTACGGGACGAGGCAAGGGGGCCGGGCGCCGTAGAGTGAAGAACAAGGGATTCAGTCCCTCGCCAGGGAAACCCAGTCCTGCAGAGGGCGCCAAATGGGTGGCGGCACCGAGCGCAGGCAGAGTCTTTAAATAGAGGAGGGGGCTGGAGGTGGGAACAGGTCTGTGCCCTAGCGCACCATGTATTCCTTGCGTTTATTGAGCCGAACTTGGCAGAAAGAGAAACCTCCGAGGAGGAGGTAAAGGCCCGCGGCAATGAAACAGTTGTAGCTGACTTGCTCGTAAAGGTTGTATATGTTCTGGGGGCCATTCCTGGGGGTGGGGATTAGACAAAGAAATGTCAGAAATATTAACAGTAGCCAACATTTACTAAGCACTTATGTGGCAGATACTGTTCTAAGTGCATTAACGTGTATTACTCATTTTCCACAACACTATGGGGTGAGTTCTATCATAGCACCCATTTCGCAGAGGTGGACCGAGGCACAGAGAAGTCAGGTAAAATACCTAAAGACGCCACACCTAAACTGGTGGGTTTAAGAATGCCTCTGAGGTCTGACTCCCAAGACTGCTAACGCTCCCAGTAGCCTTGGGGGGTCCCCAAGTATCCAGCTTCCCTCAATTCCCCGCCCATAATTCTGATCACAGGCCCAGCCACCTCTCACTTGCCTAGCCACCTACCACTTGCCCGCCTTCCTTACACGACTACTTACTCAAAATCTTTCTCCGTGAAGGGAACGTCCTCAATAAGGACAGCGGAATGGACGTTGAAAAAGATCCCGAGCATTATCTGAAAAAAAATGAATGAGTTGGTTGTAGAACTCAGGTACCTGCCCTCCAGGTCACTCCCTAAGCCCCTCCCACTTCTGATGTTGCCGCACCACCTGGAGATGGGAATAACCAGAACAAGCTAGGATTAGGGGTGGTTACTGCTGGATTCAGACTCAGCCACCTGGAAGAGGGTGTAAGGCTGTGACATTGAGATGAGTAGCTGAGGCAAGCGCAGGAGTAGTGAGCAACCCATCTTTCCCAGAACTCAAGATTATCTTCCTCCCCAGGGGTGTCACTATCACGGGACAGGGCGGAAGGGATGAGTGGAAATCGGCACTTCTTCATATGATTGTATTCTCCCGGAGTGGGGGCAGATAGGGTCCTGGGGAAACAGGGCCCCAGCTATCCATTTCAACTCCTTCCATTCAGCTCAAGCATCTCTCGGGGCTATAACTCTTTTTTCTTTTACCTTGAGGAGTCCCCAGATTTACCAGTCCCGGCTCCCATTCCAGGTTCCAGCACCCCCGCTCCCCTCCTCCGCTCCGGTTCCCCATTTCTCAATCTCAGTTCTGCCTCTTTCTCTAGAGGCCAGTTAATCAGGCAGCCGTTCCAGTTTGCCCCTGCTTTCTAAAACCCGTAGTCTCCTAGCCTCCCAGCCCTCCAACCCCGGAGCCTCTCAGGCCCTCTCGGTTCTCGCCGGGCGGTCCTCTCACCAACATGATCACTCCCCAGGCACTGAGGACGATGCCGCAGGCGGCCAGCTTGGGCCCACAGCACAGAAGCGACGCCATGAAGAAGGGAGTCGAGGATCGACTAGATGTGGGCCTACTAGAACGGGAGGGAGAGAAAGCCAAGAATGCGCGGAAGGAAAGCAGGCTTGACTTGGGGGGCTCGCGCCGCGGAAGATGGAGAGCTGGGAGGGCAACCAAGAGGCGTGGCCTTCGGACCCAACCACCGTTCCGGGGTGGGGGCGGGCGGAGAACGCTGGGTGCCTCGGAGTCCTGTCGGAATTTGGCATGATAAGGCAGTGTGTGAAATGACAGAAGATTTTCTGGAGGCCTTTCTTGACCTGTGTTGCTGGGGCATGACTACCGGTGGAGCGAGGGCCTCCTGCTTCTTGGGTTCACCCCTATGCAAATGGCAATGGAAGGAGCCGGTTCCTCACGTGACTTGGTTTGGCCGGTCACGTGACGAGGAACAGCCGTCATCAGGCCTCGGAAAGAGTCTAGCGTTGTTGAGCTGCTGGTAACCTGGGCTCTTAGGGATGGAGGACTGGAATCGTCTGATTTTTCCTTCAGATACCTTAGTCTGGGGTGGCATCCTGTGATGGGGCAATGGTAAGTGAGATATAGAGATTTGCATCGGTAGAGGGAGGGCCTCTGCCCTCTCTCTACTAACCCCTCCCCTTTTTATAGATACTCAGACACAGTAGAGAGAGACTGGAGCCCCTTCCAGAAGCCAAGCGTGCTGTGGTGGCCAGAACCCTTTAAAATTGCTGAGAGTTCTCAGGAAAGGCACTGGAAATGCTTCTCTTAAGTAAAATTTTGTTACCGACACTTGGAAAACTGTATGCTAAATCTAGAAAACTGTATGCTAAATCTAGGAAAAGTGCAGAGAGCAGACTGGACTAAAAAATTGTGAAGGCGAGCAGTCCTGCTAAATGTACTGAAGGAATGAAACTTCTTTCAGATATCTTCCAGTCGGTTCTGACTCACGGCGACTTCATGTGTTGCAGAGTAAAACTGGGCTCCATAGGGATTTTGGAAGCAGAGCACCAGGCCTTTCTTTTGTGGTACCTTCGGGTGGGCTTGAACTGCCAACCTTTGGTTAGTAGCTGCGAGCTTAACCGTTTGTGACACCCAGGGACTCCTGGAGAAACGAATAAGTACACAAAAATATCACTTTGCTTCCTTACTGTAAACTTAGGAAACTGTCTATAGATCCTTTGAAGTAGGGTACAAGATTTTAAAAGAACATGATTATTTCACCCCTTCAAAAAAAAGTTTGTATACTTAATTAGTGAAAGATTTGTAATAAGTACTCAGGGAAATGGAGGGGTTTGACAGCCACAGTTTTGCAGTGAGCTAGTGAGGACAGTGATCACAGCCTGACTGAGAAGGATCATTTTGATCCTGAGGTTCCAGAACCAAACAGACATTCAGTGGTTAGAATCACTTTGTGGTATTTTTCCACTTATTTTATGCAGGTTGTTCTTAAAGGAGTTGTATAAGAGAACTTGGAACCTGGGAAACACATGGAGATCGCAGGGTACTAAAGGGCAGGAAGAGTGGCCTTGAAACATGAATTTCATACTTCTTTTGTTTGGGACTGCCTGTCTGGGGAGGGAAGCCTATTTCGGGTGAAGGTTTTTATTCTGCCCTACAAACATCATTCGTTTTTTTTTTTTACAAAACATTTGCTAACTTAACATTTTTACATGTACAATTTAGTGACGTCAGTTGCATTAACCATGTTGTGCAACCATCACCAATATCTGTTGCCAAATTTCCATTACCGTAAACGAGGACTCAGTGCTTCCTGAAGAATGACTCCTACTTTCTCCCTCTTTCCCACCCCTGGTAACCACTAATAAACTTTGATCTCTATACATTTGCCTATTCTAGCTCTTTCATATGAGTGAGATTATACAATATTTGTTCTTTTGTGATTGACTGACTTCACTCAGCATAATGCTCTCAAGGTTCCTCCATGTTGTAGCATGTATCAATACTTCATTTCTCTCTATGGCTGAGTAACATTCCGCTGTATGTATATACGTACCACATTTTCTTTTTTATCCATTTGTCTGTTGATGAACATTTAGGTTGTTTCTAGGAACACTATTCTTATTTAGGGACTTTTGGGGTACATGTGTGAATAGGAGGAATAGGGGTGGCGGGAAAGTTGTTAAGAACAGAGTCAGGATTTTGTAGGTTGGCCACCAAGGATGAAGTCTGGTTCCTGGGAATGGAGAATTCGCCAAGGTAATTCATTTCTCCAGAAATGCTCCTCCACCATCCCCAGATGATCTGGGGTGATTTGGAAGTAGAGTCAGTGCCTCATGCTAGTGCACGGTATAGCTATGAGGGTCAAAGCCAGCCTATGCACAGCCCTCGAGCTATGCATGGCTTTTGCATTTTTCAAATGGTTGGAAAACAAAGGAAGAATAATATTTTGTGACACATGCAGCTCAAATTTCAGTGTCCATAAATAGTTTTATTGGAATACAGTCACACTCATTCCTTTCTGTTTTGTCTGTGGCTGCTTTCTTGCTACAGTGGCAGAGTTGAGTAGTTGTGACAGACTGTGTGGCCCACAAGGCCTGAAATACGTATTTTCTGGCCCTCTACAGAGGAAGTCTGCTGCCCCCTGGGCTCGTGGGATGCTGATGTAGGTGGCTTAATTGGGGGAGGAAATAGAGCCTTAGCAGCAGGACTTTATGGAAGCATGAAACTCAAGATGTAAACACCAGTTCTTGAGCTGATCTGGAGTCTTCTGGCTGGGGCAGCTGAGGGCTCAGATAGTGACACTGTTCTCTATGCGGCTGGGCTTCAGGTATTCATAGGGCAGGTCAAGTTGCTCATTCCGGGCTGTAATCTCCTTTTCCAGGTTTTCCAAATCTGTTTGGAATTGTTTTAGCACAGCCTTGGCTTTGGGGCTTGAGAAATACTTTTCTTTGTGATGTCCCAGAGGCACCTGAGACAAGAACAAAGGAGCAGTCAGCTCCCAGACCCAAGGCAGATGAGCTCAGAGCCCAGCCCCTCACTCTAATGGTTCCCTTCCAACATTTCCCCCTACGCAGAGTCCCCTCTCACCATGTCTGGCTGCTTCCGACCCAGATGCCACGTGATGGTCATTTGAAGACAGGCCTGCCGGACATCAGGTAGTGACCCCATCACCGTGGCCATTGTTACATCTTCCTTGGTGGTGGGTGGGGGCATCCGCATTGTGCATGGGGCATTAGGGACCCAGGCATACCAGTCCAGCTGGGGGAAGAAACTGCAGCCCTCAGAACGCTGGTGCTTAGGGTCCTAACCCTCACCTGTCTGCCTTGGGCATCCCAAGGTCCAGACACTTGCCCTCAGGGTCCTGGGCTTTTGGCTGTCCCTACCTGGCCCTGGTTGATGGCTGCATGCTGGGCAGTGCAGGTGAAGACACACATGGTTAGGAAATGGCAGAGTTGAGCCTGGGACTGAAAGGAAACAGGGAAACCTGGCCAAGAAAGAACAAGATTTAGAGGCTCCAGCATGAAAGGAAAGAAAGGCTGATGTCTTGGGATGGCCGTATTATATAATAGATGGGTGTTGGCTCATTTCTTAAAACACATTTGCATCAGACATGGATTTCAGTCCTAGCTCAAGCATTTATAGCTTGGGTTAAAAACTCAGTGCCATCAAGTCAATTCCAATTCATGGCAGCCCCACGTGTGTCAGAGTAGAACTGCACTCCACAGGGTTTTCCTATAGCTCGGGTTACCTTAGGCTAATTGTTTAATCTCTCTGAACTTCAATTTCTTCACCTGTAAAATCTGGACCATCCTACTTTATAAATGAGGAGTTCTTGTGGTGCAAACAAGTGCTTGGCTGCTAACTGAAAGGTTGGCTGTTCACGCCCCTCCAGCGGCTTCAGGGAGGAGAGACCTGGTGATCTGCTTTCGTAAAGATTACCTCCAAGAAAACCCTATGGGGCATTTCTGCCCTTTCAAATGGGGTCACTAGGAGTTGGAATTGACTGGATGGTACCCAACAACGACCTCATAAATGAGATAATGTATCGATTACCTGGCATGTAGTAAGTGCTCAATAAATAAAAATTGCTGTTTTCATGGGAAGATTTGGGGATGAAAAGGTCTGAGTGATCAAATGTCCCCTGCCCCAAAAAATGATAAAGAATTTAGGGATGCTTCCTCCTGTTCCCAGAGAGGGGATTGTAAGTGTCTAAGTTATAAGGTGGGTTAAGAAAAGTCATGGGTTTCTAGTGGCACATCTAGGAGGGGCTTCCCAGATGGTTACCCCAGGCCACTCATTTTACAGTGAAGGTGGGGCTCAGAGACCCCATAATCCCATCAGTTAAGTAGAACAAATACAATTATTCCCATTTTATAGAGAAGAAAATTAAAGGCCAGAGAGATTAAACTGCTTGTCAGGATTGTATAGTTGGCAAAAGGCAGAGGCTGATCTTGAACTCGGGTTCCTGACTGCAGATTCCATGCTGTTTTTAATTGTAGCAAGCTTCCTCTAAAAAGGATGCTGGGAAAATTAGGCAAAGGTGAACTATGACAACGAGGGAGAGTAAGGGGAGAGGATAGTGAGAGACAATTAGTGGAAGTTAAAATGAACTCGAGAATGTTTATTGTAAATTTCCAAATGTAAATATTGTTTGGGGAAAAGATGGCCAAGGGAAGGGAGTAGAATCTTTTGGGGCATGTGGTGCCTGAGGGATAGTACTGAGAAGTGCTAAAGAAAGTTTGGTCCTGCAATGGTAGGGGGTGGTGGAGCCCCAGATCCCCCAGGGCACAGGTGTTGGTTTCTTGCTTTCAGCATTCCCAGGGCCTGGCCATAACAGCTGCCCTGTAAATGCTTGCTGTGCAGCCCTGGTGGTGCAGTGGTTAAGAGCTACGCTGCTGACCAAAAGGTTGGCAGTTCGAATCCACCAGCTGCTCCTTGGAAACCCTATGGGGGCAGTTCTACTCTGTCCGATAGGGTTGCTATGAGTCGGAATCCACTCAGCGGCAGTGGGTTTGGTTTTGGTCGCACGGAGGCAGAGTATGCAATTCAAGGTGTTGGTCAGAAGTACAAAGGGGCAGGGGCTGCGGGATGATTCAGAGCGCTCCAGGCTAGCTCACGGGTGCTAGAGGAGTATGAACCTGGGATGAGCTCAAGAGAGGCTGCTTCTTCCTCACTGATTACAATGAGGGAGGGAATAAAGATAGTGACTGGATCATAGTGGGGGTGGACTGGCTAAAGAAATGTGAGCCCTGGGGTCTAGGAGCTAAGTTCAGGTGTCAGCCAAAGCGTAAACAGTATTGCATTTGCATTTAGAAATGACCTTGTACTTTGGTAAGTGTGGGCCACCTGTGTGTGCTGGACAGTAGCAAGCAGGAGGAAAAGAGAGGGAGAACCAGAGTGGGACATTATGGACTTCACTGGGAACATCTCCCCATTTATATCCTTAGGTAGCGAGGTAGGGAACCACGAAGAGATCTACAGGGGCTGGACAGAAACGGTTCGCTGTGATTCTGGCCTGGTTGGTCCCCACGCTGTGACAAGTTAGGGGCATCTGTGACTGCAGCTGGGGGATGGGAATAGGGGTTGACAGCCAGGGTATCTGGGAGGACAATTGTTGGGTATCTAGAAGTGTCCTCCACTGGGACAGTCTGTTGGGCGTGAATGGGATTTAGAGGCTTTGGTGTGGAGGGAGGGGTGTGCTGAGGGGTTGGGGTCTTGTCCCCAGAAGGGCAGGGCTGAGAGGAGCTCCTGTCTCTGGGGAGGATAGTACCTCGGTCCTGGGCCTGGCACAGTCCCACCTCAGTGATCTCCCGGCACCAGGCCTGCAGCTCAGGGTCCCCTCTCACGACGTCATCCCTTTGGTAGAAGAGGTGGACGATCCCCTCCACGTACCTGCCAGGGACAGGGAGGTGAGCTCTTTGAGAGTACGAGGCTCTGACCTCTCCTCTTTTCTGTGGCCTCTGCCCAGCCGCCCCTCACTGCATCTTGGAACAGATCCTGCCAGACTTGCCTTTTGGGACATTGCCCAGCCCTTGCTACTCACTACTGTAGAGAGGTCAGGGAAGTGGGTCATTAGTTTCTGGAATTCCCTGCATATGGTCTTCCTAACAAAAACCCTGATCCCTGCAGATCCCAGAGTCTCCCCACCCACAGCTTTCCCCACTGGGGCTCTCTCCCCTATGCCAGTCTCTTCCTTTTCAGACCCTCCCCACCGTCTCCTCACTCTTCTTCATCCTTCCGTAGGCTTTATCTTTGTGCTAGTCCTGGTTAGACCATCTTCCTTTTTCTCCTTTTTTTTTTTTAGCTTTTTTTTTGCTTCATGCAGACCTCAAGCCAGAGCCTCTCACCACTCACCCCCACCTCCCTCCATGTCTCAGCTCCCGCTCTCACCTACCGGGCAATGATCTCCCAGAGCCTTAAAGCATCATGGGCATAGAGAGCACATGGGAGTCCCAGCAGGCGCCTGTCAGCCAGGTCATCAGGAACACAGAGGGAGCAGTAGGTCAGCTGTGCCCCTGCTCGATGGAGCAAGACCACATGGCCCCCTCCTCCTGTGCTCATAGCCTAGAGCAAGAGAGTTGAGAGGTCTTGAGGGACAAAGCAGGTCTCAGAGTCATGGAATACCATATAAAGGGTTCAGCTGTTGGGTTTTCAGATTTAAAGTCAGGGGTATAAAAGGGGCAGGGCATTTATACATCACTGGTCTGGGACCCTGAAGGTAGCAGGAGGTCATAGAGAGAATTAGGAGGTCATAGAGGATTAGGTGGCCCCATATCCCATTCCTTCCTTACCTACCTTATCAAATATGCCTCCTTCTGAGATGAGTTGGGTCCGGGCCCGGGTGTTGATTTCCATGGTGTAGCGGATGTGGGGGACCAGGAGCTAGGGCGGAGTGGAGTGGAGGGGGTGGTTAACGGAGGCCATGCTTGGGCGCTTCTGTGTAGGAAGTGGGGCCCAGGTGGTGGCCTTCTCTCTCTAGATGCCTTCCTCCTTGTGGCTGCTTGGACCAACTGGTCTCCTGCTTCTCTGATCACCCACTCTCATGCTTTCTGAGGCCCCTGAGTCGGGCTCTGGAACCAGACTGACCATGGTTTGAGTCTGTGGTTCACCACTCTCTTTGAAACTTGGCCAAGATAATAAACCCTTAATTGGTGATCTTCTGTTCTGTCAAAGGGGAATAACAAGGTCTTTTACCTCAGGGGGCTGGAGTGATGCTTAGGTGAGTGATTATGAGGAGTGTTAGCACAGTCCCTGGCACACAGAAGTTCTCAAATAGTACTTGTTATCATTGCCTTTGTTAATTCCACCTTGAGTATAGGTGTCTGTTAAGAATCAGCCCCTTGACTGTTGATGTTTTTTGATACTTTCTCTGTTATTCACATCCTCAAAGCTTAAACTAGCCTCTCTGTTCATTTTCAAAGCAGACCTCTGGTCCTTTTACTCTTGGTGATTTTAGTTTTTTTGGGTGAAGGATGGAGAGGGTATCTTCAGCCAGAGTTAGGGGAGCCATATCGAGCTGCCTGCTTCAGTAGAGGAGTGTTGTCAGCCTGCCACAGCTCCAGTGAGGCTTTTCCTGAGCTAGTAAAAAAGGCCACCTGATCCTCATGTTCATCTCGTTTGTCTTGGACTATTTTGTCTTCATATTCCACCAGTTGGTATACAGGATTCATGCTATTTTAGTATTTATCTGATTTATTCAATCTATATGCTGAGCAAATAATCTGAGAAGCTGGACTATATGAAGAAGAACGTGGCATCAGGTTTGGAGGAAGACTCGTTAACCTGTGATATTCGGATGACACAACCTTGCTTGCTGCAAGTGAAGAGGACTTACTGATGAAGATCAAGGACTACAGCCTTTGGTATGGATTACACCTCAACATAAAGAAAACAAAAATCCTCACAACTGGACCAATAAGCAACATCATGATAAACGGAAAAAATATTGAAGTTGTCAAGGATTTCATTTTACTCAGATCCACAATCAATGCTCATGGAAGCAGTGGTCAAGAAATCAAATGATGCATTGCATTGGGCAGATCTGCTGTGAAAGATCTCTTTAAAGTATTGAAAAATAATGATGTCACTTTGAGGACTAAGATGTGCTTGACCCAAGCCACGGTATTTTCAGTCGCCTCGTATGCACGCAAAAGCTGGACAATGAATAAGGAAGACTGAAGAAGAATTCATGCATTTGGATTATGGTGTTGGTGAAGAATATTGATTATCACCATGGACTGCCAGAAAAATGAACAAATCTGTCTTGGAAGAAGTACAGCCAGAATGCTCCTTAGAAGCAAGGATAGCGAGACAAAGTGTCTCTACTTTGCACATGTTATCAGGAGGAACCAATCCCTATAGAAGGACATCATGCTTGGTAAAGTGGAGGATGAGCGAAAAAGAGGAGGACCCTTAACAAGACGGACTGACACAGTGGCTGCAACAATGGGCTCAAACATGCCTACTATTGTGAGGATGGTGCAGGACTGGGCAACGTTTCATTCTGTTATATGTGGGGTTGCTATGAGTTGCAACTGACTTGATGGTATCTAACAACAACAACATCTGACTTGTTGATCCTGGACACAGGGAAAGACCCAAGTGATACCCCTGGTGCCAAGATCAAAGCAGCTCACCTTGGTCTGAAACTTCAGAAAGTTCATGGAAAGATGCTGAGTGTCCTAGAAAGCCCAGAGTCCACACGAGGAGAAAAGATACCCAACGACAAACAACTCCTCCCCCTCCTTGCCAGAATTGTTTTTTGTAGCATTTAGTCTGTGTCACATCATTTGATTATGTCATTTAGTCCTTTAACAACCCATGATAGAGATCCTTTTATCCCTGTTTAGAGTGAAGACACTGAAGCACACATCTGGTAAGTACTGACCCAGGATTCAGACCCTGGCAGTCAGAATCCACAGCCTGCACAGGTAACCTGATGACATGTGCAGCCTTAGCCCTCTTGTGTGTCCTAATAGAGACACATGGGGAGGGGCTGAACTAATAATGGGAGGCTCAGGTGTGAAGAGTGGCTTAACCTATTCAGGGCAAAAGATGGCAATGCAGGAGACAGCATGAGATCGATAAATCCAAGACTATTCATCAGAGTGGTCTTCATCTTGTCTGTGTTATCCCAGAATCCAAAGAGGCCACATCTACTCTTGGCCAGGTTTGAGGGTAGAGGTGGAAGCCCCAGCAGAAACGCATTCAGTTGTTATGCCTGCCAAGTACTCAACTTGCGGTCTTGCCAACACTTCAAACTCGGTGTCTAAAACTGAGCACTTCATCTTTGACCCCAAACTTATGACTTCTCCTGTTACTGCTTTTGACAGTTTCCCTGGTTCAGAAACTTTTGAAAACATTTTTTAAACTATCACAAGTCTTATTTTGTTGCCTTCTGCTTGACAAATGGATACTGGACTTACTGTTTTTTAAAATTATAGTATAGGCTGGTAAAAGACACCCAGCTCCTGGGTGTTGCAGAAGCACTGATCTTTCTCATTTCAGTCTTACACCCAGGTCTGTTGCAGCTGCTCTTTCTCCCATCACCAAGTCCTTGATTTTTTCCCTTCCATTCCCATCACCACCATGCTAATGCATGTCTTTATCCATCTCTCTCTTAGGCACATGTAAGTAGCCCTACTGGGCTACTCTCCTTGCTTTATGATCTGTTTCTGTTTAGCAGAATCTTTAGTTGGGTTGATACTGATATTTCTCCATCTATACTATAGTGTTGATAGGCTGTCTCTATTGATTTTAAACTCTATTTCCAGATATTGTTCTCTGGTTGGTTCTTATGGATACCACTTGTCTTCCTAGCTAAATAGTAAGTCTCCTAAAGCAGGAATAAGGCTTTTGTTTTACTAGCTATATTCCTGCTATACTCCAAGCCAATTTCTAGATTGTTAGATTTCTGAGAGGAGCCCTGGTGGTGCAGTGGTTAAGCACTCAGCTGCTAACCAAAATGTTGGCAGTTCAAACCCACCAGCCGCTCCATGGGAAAAAGATGTGGCGGTCTGCTCTCATAAAGATTACAGCCTAGAAGAGCTTATGGGGCAGTTCTGCTTTGTCCTGTAGGGTCTCTGTGAGTCGTAATCAACTCGACGGCACACAGCAACAGATTCTGAGAATTTCAGAGGCCTGCCTTATAATATGTCCTGAAGAAACATTAAGTGACTTGACTTAATAAAAATACAAAAGTCAAGATACTGTTACATCCTTCCCTCTCTTCACCCCTTCTTCATTTGCAGATTGTTATAAAGATTTTTTGTTGTTGCTATATCATTTCGTATTAGGCTGTTTCCCTTCTCTGGGGTCTAAGAGAGATGGGACCGGGAGGGTTGAGCCTGTACCTTGAAGAGAGGATGCAGTTCTGAGAGGCACCTCATGGTGGCAACAGCGATGACCTCAGCCACCAGATGAGTGTTCAGCAAATGATATTGGAGCTGGTGCAGTTGGAAGTCTGAATTTCGGACCCAGGACTTTGCCAGGAGCCAAGCAAGTGGAGGATCTGAGGGTAGGAAGAGTGGTGGGGTGGAGGAGCTGGAGTTGGGAGGCTGGAGCTGGGGAAAGAGAATTAAGCATTTATTGAACTTCCAGTATACATACGACACTATGCTTAGCATTCTGGAGGAAACAGATGACTAAAATAAGATTATTGCCTTCCAGGAGGTTGTAATCTAACATGAGGAATGAAAACCCTTCCACCCTGCCTCTAACTAGCTGTGGGGCTGTGTGAGTGCCATGTTGGTCAGCCTGGATGGAGGAGAGACTGGAATCAGGGACCAGTAAGGGAGGCCTAACAGTGGTTTGGAAGAAATGTGATGGGGGTCTGCATTAGGATGGTGGAATGGGAAGGAGAAGCTGGATTGTGAGATAATTGACAGAACTTGTCAGCTGGCTGGTTGGTGGAAACGGAAAAGATACTGAAGAGAGAATGGGTGTCCAGTGTCAGAGGCCTCTGAAAGATTGAATGGTGATTCTCAAAGCATGGCCCTGAAATAGCAGCATTAGTGTCACTTTAGAACTTGTTAGAAATGCAAGTTCTCAGTCCCCATCTGTCATGGATTGAAATTGTATCCCCCAAAAATAATCTGTCAACTTGGCTAGGTCATGATTCCCAGTATTGTATGATTGTCTACCATCTTGTCATCTGATGTGATTTCCCTATGCATTGTAAATCCTGTCACTGTGATGTAATAAGATGGATTAGTGGCAGTTACATTGATGAAGTGTACAAGATTAGATAGTATCTTAAGCCAGTCTCTTTTGAGATATAAGAGAGAGAAGCGAGCAGAGCGACAGGGGGACCTCATGCCACCAAGAAAGCAGTGCCGGGAGCAGAGCACGTCTTTTGGACCTGAGGTGCCTGCGCTGAGATCTCCCAGACCAAGGGAAGACTGATGACAAGGACTTTCCTCCAGAGCCAACAGAGAGAGAAAGCTTCCCCCTGGAGCCGGCACCCTGAATTCGGACTTCTAGCCTACTGGACTGTGAGAGAATAAACTTCTCTTTGTTAAAGCCATTCACTATGGTATTTCTGTTATAGCAGCACTAGATGACTAAGACACCATCCTAGTCCTACTGCATCAGAGTCCGGGGGTGGAGTCTGGCAACCTGTGTTTCAACAAGCCCTTCAGGTGATTGTGATGCACACTAAAGTTTGAGAACCACTGGGCTACAGGATAACTCCAAAAGACCACAAAGACTGTTGAACAAGTAATTCCAGTTAAGTGAGTAAAGGAAGACCAGGCTGCAAGCAAACACAGAGTGACGTGAAGATAGGTGTTGCTGAGTGAGGTTGGGATTTGGGAGCCAAGAGCCAGGGGTCTGGGTTCCTGGGGTGGAAGGTGATGGGGACAGAGAAGTGTTGGGAGGGGGATGCCCAGGGGCTCACCTGGATGACCATGGGTAGCAGCTTCCCATTGGGTTCCATCTTCAGCATGACGAGGGGAGCAGCCAGATACTGCTTCTCGCCTTGGATCACATTGGCTGGAATCCCATCCAGCAGGATAAAGTCAGCCTCGAACAGGGAACCGTTCTGGGGAAAGGAGGAAGTATCCATAATTAGAATTCAAAGTCTACCCCCAGAGAACAAGACAAAGGGCAAGACATTTAAAGGTATTGAGTGTAGCTTCTCGCTATCATTCTGTATCAGTACCAGAATCCTACTGGCAGAACCAGATCATTAGGTCCAATTCTTTCATTTTAAAGTGAAGAAACAAGCCTAGTGAGGGGAAATGTCTTGCTGATATGTGGTTGCTGATATGAATTTAGGACCATGGGAGGTATTTCCTAAGCACCCCCCCTTGTCAAGATGGCCAGGCCCCTTTCCCCATCATCTCCCAATCTCTTATTGCCTGCTACCTGTGTTTGGTCCCACCAGCCCAGCAAGTCCTCCTTTACTCCTTGCCCTTACCTCCCCCGATCTGTCAAGGAATTGAGGGAGGTTCCCCTAACTGCCACCAAACACAGCACACACATGTATATGCACATACACACATCTGCCTCGGCTTGTCCTCTTCATGTCCAGTTCATCTCTTGGAAACCCAGCTCTTCTCCAGAAAAGCTCCCGATTGTCCCCACCTGACAGCACACTTGCCCACCTTCTCCTTGCCCATGGACACTGGTGTCTAAGCACTGATATCCAGCCAGGAATGTTGTCTCTACTAATATTTCTGGCCCCATCCATGCCCTTAGGATCCATCCTACGTCCTTCATGCTGGGAGCTCCTCATAGGTTTTTCTCTACATACTTTAACATCTCTAGATTTTTTAAGAGGTGCAGGACTCTGCACCAAGGGCAGTGGGTTCCTGCAGCCTCCCTTCCACTGCATTCATCTTTGGTTTCTCCTCTTCACCAGTTCTCCTTACCACATTGTCAAGGAGAGAAAAACGGAGGGTGGGAGGAGGTACCTGGAGTTCTTTTTCCAACTGGGCCCGAAGCTCCTCTGTCCCCGAGGGCAGCACTAGCCGGGAGGGCAGAGATGTGGAACGTCTCAACAGCATGGGGTTGGCGCCATTGAGGAACTGGTAGCCAAAAAGCTCATCGTCCTGCCAGCACTGGTGAACCTTTTCTGGGGGGTGGGGAGGAGGATATTGACCACAGCCTAGATGTCTCTCCTCCAGGGATCCAGGCATATGACCACCCCTATTCAGCCCCTGTCTTTACATTCTTGAGGCCTCTGTGAGATGACCAGGCATGATAGTTCTCATTTGGCAGGGAGTTATGGGGGTTGGGAGGGAGGGATACGGAGTATGGTGGATGGATGGGTCATCAAAAGGGGCCATTAGGGGGTTATGGAGACCTGGGGAATCACTGACCAGCCAGCACACTCTTTTGGCTGCAGAAGATCTGATTGAAATTCTCCAGGTGGTTCCAGGAGCTCAGGAGGGTATAAACACGCTTGTGGGTGAACTCCAGAATCCTAAGACAGGTATCCAAGCATGAACCCATCATCTGATCCCTCAGCCCCTCACCACATACCACCCCATTCTTGGATCTTCCAGCCCTCACTCCACCCTGACCTTTTCCTTACCCTGCCTTTAGTGTCAATTCAAAGTCCAGCCTCTTCTCCTCGTGGAATCTCTCATTTGGAGGTAGCTCATCCTTAGAGTTTGCAGCTATTGTCAGGGGTAATCCTTCCTTCCAGGTGGCCCAGCTAGGAATTGGGGTTAAGGGTTCAGGGAAGGGGTAGGGTCAGTGATGGGCGCAAGGTTGGGGACGGGATAGGCCAGTTGGGAGGCCTGTGGGTGGGTGGTTACCGGTAGATCTGCTGTCTTTCTTTCAGTTCCTTCTCTCGATGCCTCTGGAACACGTCCAAGGGGTTGTCTCCCGCCAGGCAGGCTGGGCAGGCATTAAGAGGATTCACCACACTGCTTGGTCTGGTCTTGTGCTATCCCCTGCTGTCATTTCCCATGTTTACTGTCAGCTCTGTTGCTTTTAACTCTGCCTTTGCTTCACTTGATTGATCCCCAGACATGTTAATCCCATCTTGCACTCCTGTTTGCCTTGCACTCCGGTTTCACCTATCTCAGCTCTTGCCTTGAGACAGAAATTCTATGTTTGACACCCTTTCTTGTCCCGTAATTCATCTTCCCCTTGCCCGACGCTATTTCATCAATCTCTATGATTGGATAAATCACCTTAATTAGGGTGATAAAATCTTAACCACCCACATGCCCATACCTATCTTTGATTACATATTACTTTGGTTAATTTCACATGTCCTGGCCTCACTTGTCCACACCTTCACCTGTCTTTACCTGATTTCACCTTTCCTGGATTTACCATGGCAGTCTCTATTTAGTGACCTGCTCCTATTCTCATCTGTTCTTCTGCTCACTTGTCTCTGAAAGACACATACTTCATGTTCCCATCCTTACCTCCACTTGCCCTCAATTCTCTATTCATCTCTCTTCCCTGTTTCCCACGGTAACAAATTCCATAGTTTCCATCTTCCTTCATCCCCACCCCCTGCCAACATGCTCTCTTGTCCCTACAGTTGTCTTCCGTGGCCTTCCAGCCTTACCAGCTCTCCAGTCAGAGCTTATCTCCCTTAGCTGTCTCCTGCTTACCCCTCACTCATCACTCCTATTCCATGTGTTAACCTCACCTGTCCCTGCCCTAACTCTCTCTGAGTCCCACAGACATCACCTTTATACTTTTACTCTGGCTCTTCTGTTCGTCATCATCTCTGCCACTGATTCCCTGTCCTCACCTTCTTGAAGACAGAATCTCCAGATCACTTACTTCCTGGCCGCAGCGTCACCAGCTGCGCCTTGTATCCCCATGTGAACAATTTATTTTCCCATTTGCTCTTTAGCATCCCGGATTTCCCACAGTTAATCTGCCTCTGCCTACCCCTTCTCTAGACCCCTCCGACCTTCCTTAGCCTATCCTGACCCCTCCAGAAGTCTTCGAGGCCCTGCACCCCCTTCCCGACCCTGCCCCCTCACCGGTGCCCTCGGGCAGGCTCAAGATGCCCTGTCCCCGCACCCAGCGATAGCACGGGAAGGCCGCCTCTGCGCAGGCCCCGGGGCCCTGCACGGTGATGCGGTCGCAAAACCACGCGTCGTCCACCAAGGAGTGGTGTTTGCGCAACTTCACGAACTGCAGTGGCCCCAAGTCGTTGGGGACGTCTTGCTCAAACTCCTCCTGTGGGGTCAGAACCGGCGAGACTTAGTGGCGGAGACCGCAGAGAGGCGTTTTGTTGGAGGAGCAGCTGCTTAGTTTAGCAAGACCTTCAAAGACATCATCACCCCATTCTCTGCTTAGGACAACCTGCACCGTGGGTCTTAGACGCGCATTTCATCGGGAAGACGAGAGAGGCATTGCGTGGCCCGCGGTTCGGTTCGTGTCTCTAATCATGTTTAAGCATCCTCACTCACATGAGAACCTTCAACTGAGCTCCCTCCCTGCTTTCGGGAGGAGTGTCACGTCTGACCACTAATGGCACATTTGTACTGGCTCTGGGGTCACTTGGAGGCAGGAGTAGGGAGAAGGGGCCTGAGCCCCAGTCTGGATCCCGGGATCCTGACCCTTTCTCTGCCCCGCCTTCGGCGCCGGCGCCCCTACTGCCTGGAAGACCCAGCCGCACCTGTCGCCTCATCTTGTCCTCGGCCTCCCGCGTCCTGACCCTGCCTCCCGCTCGAACCCCGCGTGGCCGGCCCGGCTCCGCCGCTGACCTCGCCCCGCATGGGCCGCAGCTGCAGCTCCAGCTCCGCCATCCCTCGCGCCCCGACCAGCCACATCTGTATGCTGTTGTGCGACCCGGAGAACAGCCAGGCCCCGGTGGCCACGCGGATGCGGTAGCGGCCCATGGTGCCCCAGACAGCGCAGGCGAGCGGGAGCTCGGTCCGGCGCTGCACTCCCGACCGCTGCCCAGAACCACTCGCTGCGGTGTCCAGGCGCCTCGAGGCCAGTTCCGGACCTTAAAGAGATGGATCTGCGTCCCCGCCCATCGCGCAACAGGAAGGCGCTGCCATGTCCCCGCCCTAGACTAGCCCGAACCTGCACTTCGTGAAGCAGGGCTGTGGGGAAGGGCTGTGCTTCCCCTTCGGAGCTCAGCTGCAGGAACATAAAGGGAACCTGGCCACGGTGAGGCCAAAGGGTGGGTATGGCGGGGCCTCCCTGAACCCCTTGCCCTATCCCAGGAGGCCTGGGTGCAGGAGCCTCGAGGCTGGAGGGAGCAAGGGTGAGAGCAATTCCCCAAGTTTCCAGACATTTTGGGGAGCTAGGGGGAAAAGTGTGTGGGGGCGGGGGGAGGGGCGGGGCAGGGGGGTGGCTGCGTCTTAGGTAAAATGGCGAAAGCCTCAGGTTTTCTCGGCTGGGACCTAGGGAGGGCAGTGGGCCCGGAGTGTGCTCAGCTGCTAGACTGGGACCCGGTACCGGCCCAGGTCCTTCAGTTCCTGATCTATACCACCTTTGAGCACAATCTCTCAATAAATGACAAGGCTGCACAAATAAACACCGCTTCCGTGGAGTTGATTCTGGCTCTCAGTGACCCTATAGGACAGAATAGAACTGTCTATAAGGTTTCCAAGGCTGTAATCTTTACGGAAACAGACTGCCACATCTTTCTCCCCGAGAGCTGCTACCTTTCGGTTATCAGCCCTTTGCCTGATCACTGTATTACCAGGGCTCCTTTTCAGGCTGCCTAGAACCTGGAAAATAACAGCGCAAAGACTTTCCCTTTTCCCCACCCCCAACCCCATTCCACACATATGGCGTTAGGACCCCAGGTGAAGTCCCTGGGAGGCACAAATGTTAAGTGGAAGGTTTGTGGTTAGAATCCACCGAGAGGTGCCTTGGAAGAAAGGTCTGGTAATCTACTTCCAAAAAATCAGCCATTGAAAACTTTATCGGACACAGTTCTACTCTGACACGCATGAGATCATCATGAGTCAGAGTCAACTAGACTCGACTGGCACCTGGTTTTTAGGATGTCAGGTAGACCCAGACACCATGGACCGGACATCTTGAGAGGCCTAACTGAGGCAGGGCAGTGAAAGCCTCATTTTCTCCAGCCTCCATAGTGGGTGCAGAAAATGTTAGGGACCAGGACAGGTGTTAGGGTGCAGTATGGAGTCATTTAGGGACCCAGCATACAGTGGGCTATGACCATGAACTGAGGTGGATGTAGCTCCTTCCCCCTCGGTATGTTCCAGGTTCCTTTTCATTCTGGCCTCAGCTAACTAGCCCCGGTGCTTTCTTCCCAGCCGGAATTTCATTTAGTCCTACAAAAATTATATGTAAATAGTTGTATTGGGCATGAGGCTCTACTTCTTTCATCTTTCCTCTTATCCTTATCCCACTCTCCCCCTTACCCCCACCTAAGCTATTTTCTGGTCCCCCATGGATCTCAGGACAGGACACCAGGGAGCAGCAGTGGGACAGGTGCTGGTTAGGGACATCATAAACATTAGACAGTAGATTCAGGCTCTGGCTTATCACCCACACAGGTATCAGGTGAAGCCTCCTGCACAGGTCCCTAGCTGGGTCTTCTTGGTCCAGGGTGCTATAAGCATTTGGCTCAGAGAGGATGTGTCTGGTGACCTGGGTGAGGCCCCATACGCATTGCCATTGAGTTGCAATGGACATAGTGACCCTATAGGACAGAGTAGAACTGCCTCATAGGGTTTCCAAGGCTGTAATCTTTAGAGAAGCAGACTGCCACATCTTTTTCTGGCCAGACTTCCGGTTAGCAGTCAAACGCTTTAACCACTGCGCCACCATGGCTTCTTAAATATCTTCCCAGACCCTCAGAAAAGACTTGGAGCGTTGGTATTGGTGGGGATAAGTGAGAGGGGTTCTAGTCCTGCCTTCCAGCCTCCGAGCCCCCAGAAGTGTCTGATCCTTCCTCGGTGCCATTCCCCTTCTTATCTTCTAGGCCCACTCCTGCCGACATCCTCTGTGCTCAGAACTGGGTGTAGGCCACTTGCCAGCCCCCAGCTTTCTGGGGTCACCCTATTGGGTAATATCCACATAAAATGGCTCAAATTCCCGCCCCCTGTAATAGCAGGAGGGCCCCCTGGTGGCGCAGTGGTTAAAGCACTTGGCTACTAACCAAAAGGTTGGCAGTTTGAAACCACCAGCTGCTCTTTGGGAGAAGGATGTGGCAGTCTGCTTCCATAAAGATTATAGCCTTGGAAACCGTATGGGGGCAGTTCTACTCTGTTCTGTAGGGTCGCTATGAGTTGGAATCAACTCAATGGCAATGGTTGGGTTGGGTTGGGTTGGGTTGGGTTTGGTTTGGTAGTAGCAGGATCTGGCCTTTCCTCACACATCCTTCTTGGGTCACCTGTGCCTGGAAGAGTTTCCGCCATATCTACTTCCTGAATCATCCTGCTTCTCTGCTGTTTTGTGACTCCTTTTCTACCCACTCTAGTGTACTGCAAGGTCACATGCACAGGAGGAGTGAATAATTGGGAACAATAATCCCAGCGACTGCATATGCTAAATGAGGTAACGTGTAAAACGCTTAGAACAATGCCTGGCAAACAGTCCCTGGATGTATTAGCTGCTGTTATTCTGTGATTTACAGACTGGAAGCAATTTCCAATTGAATGTCAGCATCACTCTTGCTAGAAATCCCTCCACATTCCCCACCACATACTGTTTTTCCAAGTCCCTCCACAGGCTCCAGTCTCCCAGTCGGGCTCTTACCCTCCAGACCCTTCCTCCCACTTCTTTTGTAATTTTTCCGTTTTAAGAACATGCACTACCTTTTTGTTTTTCCGTGTGCCCCAGGAAGGAGCCAGGGCTTGATATTGCCGCGGCCCATCACAGTAGGGACGCTCATGGGTGCCGCACGTGCAGGTCAAAGCTGCAGCCTCTCCTCTTCCAAGCTCCCGTGACCCCACTTAGCAGAATGATTTATCAAAACTTCTCTCTCTAGGCCAGGTGGTGTGGGTGAGGGAGATGGACCTCACATTTCATAGCCTAAAAAGCTTGCCCAAGTGCTTTTCTAAACGCGAGAATATTTTATCCCCTTTTTTTCTCCTATGCCAATTTGGCTCAAACTACAGGAGGTTTTGAGGATAACTCACTTGTCCCTGCTACGTTAGTGTTCGGAGCCCTGGTGGTGCAGTGGTTGAGAGCTACAGCTGCTAACCAGAAAGGTCGGCCGTTCAAATCGACCAGGTGCTCCTTGGAAACCCTATGGGGCAGTTCTACTCTGTCCTACAGGGTTTCTATGAGTCGGAATCGACTCGACGGCAATGGGTATGTTAGTGTTTGGAGCCTGCATTTGGTACTGGGGTATATGTATTTGGACCTCTCCATTAAGGGCACCTCCACATTGGACATACAAACCTAACATTAGAAAGTATATAATTTTAAGTCATATAATCATATGAGCTGGTTTCAGAGTAGAAATTTATCACCTGTTTTTCCAGTTAGTAATTTGAGCACTCACCTGCCCCTATTAGCAGGAAGTCCAGCACTTCCTTTCCCAGTGCCGTCACTTGCTTCTGGCGCTGTCCCATGTAGCTGGGGAACCTTGTCCTGCACTATCCAGTGGGTCCTTTTCTAGTGCTGCAGGGATTCCTGCATAGGCCACAGCAGTGACACACACTTGGACTTCCACAGTGTTTTAGTTCACACAAGCTCAAGAAGGTCCCCAAAGCATGACTGTGGTGCTCAGATGGCTGGCCCAGGGGACCGTGCCAGGGCCATGTCCAGCCTCAGCCCCCTAAGCCTTTGGGCCTTGGGTGTTTAACGTGCTCATTAGACCAGACACCTACTTTCCTCACAGAGTGTTCCCTTTTGGGACCCTTGGTGTTCTCTCCTGCTGGTGAACCTCTGTTGGGACCTTCTCAATCTTTCAGAGAGAACTTAATTAATATTGAACAATGTCAAAAAGAATCAGAGTCTCAATCTCTTCTTCCAGGTAGTGTCTTGGGCCCTCTAGACAAATTTACCCCCTCCTCCTCATCTGCTGGCTAGGTGGCGCAAAAGTTTGAGCTCAACTACTAATCTGTTGTTAGGTGCCATCATGTTTATTTCAACTCATAGAGACCCCATGTGACAGAGTAGAACTGCCCCATAGGGTTTCCTGGGCTGTAATATTTACAGGAGCAGATCACGAGGTCTTTTTCCCATGGAGCAGCTGAGTGGGTTCGAACTGCCAACCTTTTGGTTAGCAGCTGAGTGCTTAACCATTGTGCCACCAAGGCTCCTTGACTGCAAACCTAAAGGTTGGCAACTCGAGCCTACCCAGTGGCACTGTGGAAGAAAGGGCAGGCAATCTGCTTCCATTAGGATTACAGCCAAGAAAACCCTATGGAGCAGTTCTATTCTGTAATACATGCGGTTGCCTTGAGTCAAAATCAACTTGCTGGTAACAGGTTTGGTTTTTTGCTTTTCCTCATCTGCATACCAAGGGAGTATTGGGGTAAGGAGTGGGGGATGGGAAGGATCAGGTGGGGAAGAGAGAGTCTTTGTGGGCTTCAAAAGGGTGTCCAAGAGAGGACACTCAGGGTTCAGTGAAGAGCGAAAGCTTTGCTTCCAGGTAGCTTTCTATGCCATTTAGAGAAAAAAAGCTGACAGATTCTTTCCCTTTCAGTATTTGTCTCCTTTTCCTCCCCGACCTTTGCTGCCCCAACCCTGGCAAGTATCCTCAAGTGAAGGTCAAAGGCTCAACTTTCTGTAGGTTCATAGAGTCATGTGCGAACATGCATATACTTACAAAGGTGTTTGGTTTTGGTTGTTTAAAAAATCTGTGCCCCATTGTTATGGGTTGAATTATATCCCCCCAAAATATGTGTTGTAAATCCTAACCTCTATGCCTGTGGTAGGAGCCCTGGTGGCACAGTGGATAAGTGCTTGGCTGCTAACCAAAAGGTCAATGGTTCAAACCCACCAGCCACTCCATGGGAGAAAGATGTGGCAGTCTGCTTCCATAAAGATTTCCAGCCTTGGAAACCCTATGGGGCAGTTCTACTCTGTCTTGTAGGGTTGCTATGAGTTGGAATTGACTCACAGGCAACAGATTTATGCCTGTGGTTATAATCCCATTTGGGAATGGGCTGCCTTTCTTATGTTAATAAGGTAAGATTAGTGTAGGGTGTATCTTGAGCTAATCTTTTTTGAGATTTAAAAGAGATTAAGCAAGCGAGTAAGCAGAGATGGGAAAAGAGAGATGCCAGGCCTCATGAAGGCCACTCAGGAGCAGAAGCTCAAAGAGACAAGGACCTTCCTCCAGAGCTGACAGAGAAAGCCTTCCCCTAGAGCTGACAACCTGAATTCAGACTTCTAGAATCCTAAACTGTGAGAAAATAAATTTCTGTTTGTTAAAGCCACCCACTATGTGGTATTTCTGCTATAGCAGTACTAGATAACTAAGACACTGCGGTAAGATGGATCGATTTTATATGGCCTTTCTCACCATGGTCTTCTAACTCCCACCCAAGTGATTGGGTGAGACTAGGCAAATAAGGTAATTGTGGCCCACCGAGGGGATTGGTCAGTGTTGCCATCCCACTAGGCTTAAAATGAGCCATCCCAGAGATGGGAAGAGAGGACCTCACCACCACCAAGAAGAAGTACTGAAAGTGGAGCATGTCCTTTGTACCCAGGGTTCTCTGTGCCAAGAACCTCCTAAAGAGAGAGCTGTAACACCTGAGATGGTGAGAAGCAGCACCCAAGAAAAGGTGTCAGCAGAGGCTGCAGAACCGGGAGAGCTGCAGACCAGCAGGAGACATCACCGTGGGCTTCCTGACCTGTTGGGCAAGATAGCTGAGGGCCTTTGGGCAGGAAGCTTGCTGGTGGAGTGGGGTGTCTCTGGGCACTTATTGTTGGAGCAGACCCAAGGAGCGAGAGAGCTGAGGGCCTTTGCGCTGAAGCTTACTTGGTGGAGTGTGTATGTGTGGGGTGCTTCTGGGCACTTGTCGGCAGAGCTAAAAGAACTTTGTAACCCTTGCCTCAGCAGGGCAGAGGCCTGGCGGAGGGACTGAGGGCCAGAGAGAGGCCTGCCTGTGGGCATAGTTGAGAAGAGGCTGTCCTGATAGAAGAACTGTATCCTGCCTCATTTCCTGATCCTGAATTGTAACCTGTTACCTCCCTAATAAACCCCATAACTGTGAGTATTGTCTGTGAATTCTGTGTGACCATTGCAAGGAATTATCTAACCCAGCAGAGAGGTGGAGAGTGCCATGGGAGGGAAGCCTGGTGTCAGAACTGGTTAAAAGGTTGGCCAGACGAGGTATGTCTGACCTCCCCCTCATTGCAGTCAGCCTCGGGCTGTTGATCTTGATTTTCTTCCCTCCTTGTGAAGTTAGAGGAGGTCAGATGACGCCTCTGCCATGCCATTTTTATAGACATCTGCTATACACAATTGTCTGCAGCTTGCTTTTCTCACTTAAGAGATACAGCTCATGAAAATCTTTGAAGCTCAGTCATTACACATCGGGCTCATTCGTCTAAACACTTGCATGGCATTCTCTCCTACGACTAGCTGGCAGTGTATTCAGCCGTTCCTCTGTTGATGTTTTGTGATATATCATCAATGCTACAAAGGCTGTGGTTTTATTTGTATGGGTTAGAGTTCAAGACCAAGGGTGCAAAGAATGAAAAACCACTAGAGCTAAACAAACAAATACACACACAAACAAAATAAAAACAAACAGCAAAGCTGATTCTCTTTACTTGTCAGACAGAAGGAATACACCAGAGAAGACATTGACTGAGTAGTTCGTGGAAGTGGTTAAGTCAGGGATTTTTAACTGCTAGAAAGGGCGTGTTCATAATGTTTATGTTAATTAAAACTTAAAAACTTATACCCTGGAGAGGCTGGAATGAATCCACAGGTTTGTACACAGTTGTCTGAAAGAAGTCCCACTGTTCTTTAGTTAGGAGGGTCTTAAGTAGGTCCACTCAGGGTCTAGCATACCAGGGTTACTTAAAGTTCGTGGTCATTTAAAAGCTTCAGCTGGCCAGAAACAGTTGGGGTGAAGCACAGCATTCAGTTTTGATATCTTGAAGTCCCTGTGTGGTACAAAGATTAACACGCTTAGCTGCTAACTGAGAGGCTGGATGTGCGAGTCCACCCAGAGGCAGCTTGGAAGACAGCCTGGTGATCTAATTCCAAGAATCAGCCATTGAAAACCCTAGGGAGCCCAACTGTATGCTCACACACATGGGGTCACCATGAGTCGGAATCGACTTGAAGGCAACTGGTTTTAGGCAAGTGCTGCTAAAAGTTCTTTTATGTGGGATTGCTGGATGAAAGAGTGTGAGTGTAGGGGGACACAGAGTTCATTGTGATACTATGGAGAACAGGTTCAGTAGGGAGATGGAGGCTGAATGCAGATTGGCGTGTAGCATGCCTTTCAAGAAACAAGGCTTTGAAGGGAACAGCAAGAGAGCCGTAGCTGGAGATGGGGGACCAGCAGAGCCACTGAGAGGGAGAGGTTGAGATGCAGGAGAAAGAGAGTGTAAAGGATAAGGGGAAAGCCCCGAGGGAGGAGACGAAATCCCTAGAATGTACGGATGAACTAGTCTTAGGCATTTTCAGAGGGGACTGGGCAACAGCATCTTCGATATTACAATAGTTTGCGGCCCTACAAAGGCCACAATATATAAACAGATATATGATGTATCTGTGGTATGAAAATTTCATGGGGTCAGGGTGGGGAGTGATTAGGAAAAGAATGTCTTAAAAGGCTCCATTAACAAAACAAAACAAAAACCAGTTGCCTTTGAATCTGTTCCCACTCGTGGCAACCCTGTGTTTCATGGCTGTGACCTTTCAGAAGTAGATCACCAGGCTTTTCTTTTGAGACGCCTATGGGTGGGTTCAAACCATCAACCTTTCAGTTAGTACTCAAGTGCTTAACGATTTGCACCACTCAATGACTCCTTAAAAAAAACAAACAAAAATATCTGTTGTGGTCAAGTAGATTCCGACCCATAGCGACCCTATAGGACAGAGTAGAACTGCCCCATAGGGTTTCCAAGGAGCGGCTGGTGGATTTGAACCGGTGACTTTTTGGTTAGCAGTCATATCAATTAACCACTGCACCCCGTTGCTCCATACGGGGAGAATAATGGAAAAAAATGATGAGAAACTCTGCCTTAGAAGGTGAGACAACTCTTACTTTGTAACAAGAGAAAAAGGAGAAAGAATGAGCATGGCAGCAGGTAAACTTTAAAATGAGGGGTGGGGAAACATCCCATTTGGTGACTTGTAGGTTCTCTGTGAAGTGGCTGGGAAGGACCTGGCTTTTAGGGGTGAAGCCCGTATCAGAGAAATGAGAGAGAAAAAGTTTAAAATAGACTCTGAGAGAAATGAGAGGGTGCTGATTGAAAAATTATAACAGGAATGCTGGGCAAACTTGAGACCCTGCTTGAGGTTGGTGACCATGAATTTACCTGTTTGCTCAGGGGTGTGATTTCCCTAGCAGTACTGCCTGCTTCCACTACCCATCTGTCAGTTTGTTGTACTGTGGTGGCCTGTGTGTTGCTGTGATGCTGGAAGCTATGCCACCAGTATTTCAAATACCAGCAGGGTCATCCGTGCTGGACAGGTTTCAGCAGAGCTTCTAGACTAAGACAGACTAGAAAGAAAAGCCTGGCTTTCTACTTCTGAAAATTAGCCAATGAAAGCCTTACGGATTACAATAGAACATTGTCTGACCCACTTGCTTTGGACACATCATCAGGAGGGATCAATCACTCGGGGAGGACACTGTGTTTGGTGAAGTAGAGGGTCCTCGAGGGTGAGGGAGACACTTGGTAATATGGATTGGCGCAATAGCCGCAACAGTGGACTCGAATATGCCAGTGATCCTGAGGATAATGCAGCATTTCTTTCTGTTGTACATAAGGTCACTATGAATGGGAGTTGACTTGATGGCAGCTATCTATCAACTCACTGCTTGATTGCCGACACAGGACAAATGAAAGGTTGGAGTCATCTAGAACATCAAGAGGTGGAACAGGGATACTGAGGCTCTGCCTGGCGGAGACTGACTCAGGCTCCTCTCCTGTACTTATCTCCCTGACATCAGTGGTGGAACAGGTATGAAATTGGGCCCCTTTCTTATATGTTGCCAATTTGCGTTTTAAGCAAACGTGGTATCCAGATAAGCCTTCTAGACTCCCTTCCAACCAGACTGGCATCTCTAAACTACTAGGATTTACTTATTCTGGAACTGGCTGTACTCAGCATTCCTTTAAAGAAGTTGAGAGGTTAATCCTGGTCCCTCCCTCCAGCCCCTGCTGTTTGTCTATTCCTCAGGGACCCAACGTCCAACCCTCAGCCTGTCTTTTCGTGACTGAACTGGAAAGCCAGGCCCAGGGTATCTTGGGCTTCTCCCTCCATCTTGGAGAAACAAATATTACGAGACAAATGAGCTGTGGGGTCCACCATAGTCTGTAAGGAATACAGACATTCTTCCCAACCTCTGGGATCCCTGCTAACACCCCCTAACTACCCCAAGTTCTGTTTATCTTTCTCTTTGCTCTAATGTTTCCCTTCTAATTCTACATTCCTCAGATTTCTTTCTTTGTTTTTAAATCTTTTCCCATACAAGAATTTATACATACATTGTTATGTGACTCTAATTGCTCTCCCTACACTGTGACAGCGCACTCCTCCTTTCCACCCCTGATTCCCCATGTCCATTCAACCAGCTCCTAACCCTCTCTGCCTTCCCATCTCACCTCCGGACAGAAGCTGCCCATTTAGTCTCTTGTATCTGCTTGAGCTAAGAGGCACACTCCTCACGATTATCACTTTATGTCCCACAGTCCAGTCCAATCCCTGTCTGAAGAGTTGGCCTCGGAAATTGTTTTAGTTCTGGGCTGATAGCGAATCCAGGGGCTGTGCTTTCCAGGGTAATTTCAGTCGCAGTCAGACCATTAAGTCTGATCTTACTAGAATTTGAGTTTTGCACCACACCTTTCTCCTGCTCCATCTGGGACTCTCTGTTGTGTTCCCTGTCAGGGCGGTCATTGGTGGTAGCTGGGCACCATCTAGTTCTACTGGTCTTAGACTGATGAAGTCTCTGGTTTATGTGGCCCTTTCTGTCTCTTGGGCTAATACTTTCCGTGTGTCTTTGGTGTTCTTCATTCTCCTTTACTCCAGGTGGTTGGGACCAACTGATCCATCTTAGAAGGCTGCTTACAAGCTTTTAAGACCCCAGACACC